GGTGACTCAGTCCAGAGTTTCTCCCAAACACAACATGAGGGCTTTAGCAGGAAAACCTTTTTTTAGCATTAATCACCTTTCACTTTAAGTTTGCATGAGCTCCTAAATAATGGGCTCAGGTGAAAGTAGAACTAATTATTGTCATTACGGCTTTTAGCTCATAGAAATATGGAATGACAGACTGGTTTGGAAGGGATTTTGAAGACCATCCCGTTCCACCTCCTGCCATGGGCAGGAACACCTTCCACTATCTCAGGTTGCTCCAAGTGTCATCCAACCTGATCTTGAACACTCCCAGGGAAGGGGCAACCACAGCTTTTCTGGGCACCCTGTTCAGATTAAGGGGATCATAGGAGGGCACCAAAGTGACTGAGGTGATGGTGATAATCAGCACAGGATAAAATGGGATCCTTTCCTCTGGAAAACCTGTGAGAGAATGATTCCAATGAGGTGCTCTACTCTGTTGCTTTCAAGGTTATCAAAGAAATGACCACCCCTCACCCAGCTGTGGTGTCCCATTCTGTGACATTAATGACAAGAATCTCTTGGCACAGGATGTAATTTGCCTGGGGAAATTAGTTTCAAAAAGGACCAGAAAGTTAAATACTATTGCAGAGATTAAATGAAGGCAAATAATTTTATAGCCAAAATAATATTTTTCTATGATAAATTATGTAAAAGGAAAGAGTAATAAAATGTGATGCTCCAGGGAATAAAACAATCCCTGCAAAGGTCAGGAAACTCTTTTAACATACCTGCACATCAGTCCAGATGCATTATAATTTGTTTGGGTTTTGTGTCCTTGGTTGAACGTTATATTCTTGCCTGAGTTCCTCAAGGCCAAGCACCTCATTGGGTGGACAGAGAAACCTTCCCCAGCTCTCTCAGAGTACTGCTCCATCCTTTGAAGCATGAGCAGATGATTTCTGTTACACTCCTGTCCCATTCCTGCAAGACTTGACACACTGCGAGGTCTTGGTGGCATCTCACGCTGTGACCCGCGACTCCACGATTTTGCTGTTCCAATGCTGTCTCTAATTGTATCAGGATTAACTTTTCACCCAAGCTCTCCACCTTGGGCACCATGGTTAATTCCTGTGGTGCAGAGTTTCATGGCTTGGCTGTCAATGTGCTCTGTGCTTCGGTCTTAGATCAGCTGAGGTCGCTTGTCTTCCTGTCTTAAGCCAACAGCACTTAGGTGTTAAGATGAGAAATTTCCTTTTTTTTCTGCTTTACTTCCACCCCATATCAGCTTATCCCAGCTTTGTGCTTACCAGGGAAGTGAAGCCAGATCAGATCTCAACCACCCAGCCTGGAGGTCCCATCATTGTCATCCTGGAGCAGGGCCTGACAAACCTTATCTCAATCCCCCAGCTCCTCCACATCCAGTGTATGTCACATCTGTTAAATCCGTCCACTTGGCCCCTCTGCCAGGTCAGCTCCTCTCCATGGCCCCAGCCCACTGCTTCCTGCTTGTCCAAAGGCTTCTCAGCTGCATTCCAGGTTCCTCTGTCATCCATACAAGATGACATTTGGTGCTCATTTAGGGCAATTTACCAGGCTGGTTTGAATATGAGAGCTCTGAAATTTATTTCACACTTTTGAAACAAACCCAGACCCAACTTTTTCACAACGGCTGTCAGTGATGTTCACAGCATCCTGAAAGGCTCGGGTAGAATTTGCTCGTGAGCTTTATAGACTTATCCTCTGGGAGAGAGCAAATATGGGAGAATTTGAGCTAAGAAAGACAATTTACATTATTGAAGTGTTAGAACATGACAGAGCTGTAACCTCAAATCTGTATTATAAAAGTACCCAAAGATTTGATAAAATACAGGGCTTTCATAGAATCATAGACTGGTTTGAATTGGAAGGGACCTTAAAGTCCATTTTTTCCACCCCCTGCCATGGCAGGGACACCTTCCACTATCCCAAGGTGCTCCAAGTTCTATCCAACCTGGCCTTGGACACTTCCAGGGATCCAGGGGCAGCCACAGCTGCTCTGAGCACCCTGTGCCAGGGCCTCACCACCTTCACAGGGAAGAATTTCTTCCCAATATCCCATCTATCCCTGCCCTCTGGCAGTGGGAAACCTTGTCCTGTCACTCCAGGCCCTCATCTAAGTCCCTCTCCAGCTCTCCTGGAGCCCCTTTAGGCAGTGGAAGGTGCCTAAATAATACATATCATAACACACAATACAGATACCTGAGACATCTTCAAAGAAGTACCCAGTAATTACTGCAGTCATTACATGGGCCTGGTCTCCCCCCAGCCTTTGATCAGAGATGTCTAGAGTGATCTCTGCTACTTCCAGAGCACAGGCAGATCCATCTCCTCCTTCCCCAGCTCTTCTGGAGGAAGAAGTGACCCTCTGCACTCCCACACCAGTGAGAGTTCCCACCACAACACTGGGACATCTTTAGTTATGACTTTGCACCACTGGCTGAGCCCAAACGAACAAAAAACATCCCCAAACTGTCTGGCTTTGTATTTTCCTGGAGTTTAAGTCCAGTTGAAGTAATTAGATCATCTTTTCTGCATTTTTGGATGTCACAAGTCACTGCATTTCAGTTGAACATTGAGCCCTGTCACTCAGGCCAGATTAAAACCCAGCAACCCTGGGGAGAGCAGAGCTGCTACGGGCTGACATGGGAAGTGATGAGGTGCCAGCATGGGCCTGGCACTGCCAGGGAGGGTTTGACAGTTCACAGTAGCAGTCTGGTGCTCCAGCCCTATGAAAGGATGATGATCGAGGCACCCTCAGCCCTCTCCCTCCCCAACTGGCACAGGACACTGAGCTTTCAGACCAGATGATCTCGAAGCACTTGGACAAAGCAAGAAATCCTCATGGCTTCACCCCTCATCTCTCTGCTTGCAGGCAGAGCCCTTCCTCCCAGTCTCGGCATTCAAACCGTGTGGTTGAAATGAGCTAATTTTGCTTGGAAGGCTGCAAGCCCCAGTGCAGGCACCGCTTCCCTCGCACGCTGTCGCAGTACGCAGCCACCGCTGCTGCAAGAGAGCTGTGGCTCATTTCAAGGTTGAATTTGTCCAGCTTCAGTCCCTGGGATATTCACATCTCTGGAAATTATCTGGAGATGCTGCAGTCCGTTATAGCGGAGCTGTTTGCTTCCCTTGGTCAGATCTCTGGGCAAGTGCTCGGATTTTAACACTGCCATGTCCCTACATACATCCTTCTCTGTACCCTGTATTGTTTTTTAAGATTAAGGAAAATATATTTTATTTTCAAGCTTTTCTTTTCAATTGCAAGGACCAGATACTCTTTTTAAATGACAAGAGATGAGAATCTCGTGCATTTGCATGATCCCAACGGTTTCACAAACTCCTTTAACTAAACCATTGCCCAGATTTTACCAAAGGCACGTGGGGCTGATGTACATGAGGGCCACTGACACCCAGCACGGAGCACACGAGCCCTGAAGTACCTAAAATTATCTCATGCTGGCTTTTGAAGATAAGTCTCCACCCTCCATTCAGAATGACAACTTTTGGCAACAACAAGAAAACAGAAATGACAGATGGTAACAAAATCTGGTACACAAACATGACAGTAGGCAATATAATGAACATTTCACCCACTCCTTCATTTATGCTAATCAGTGCTTTTGAGCAACCGGAATTGTTCTGCCAGACAGCCACGGATCTGAAGCACAGCACAGCAAATCTCAGAGGGCCACCAACCTGAAAACAGGGTAAAACCCCACCAAGGCGATTCACTGTGAATGAAATTAAAGTATCACTAAACTCCAACCCTGACAAAATCCCCTCACTCCTAAAAATCACTTCAACCTCTCCTCCTGCCCTGAAAACACCACATCTACAAAACAGAGGCAGTTTGGTTTTCCTGCTACCTAAAGCTTCACCAAAATTCAGAGGAACCAGCAGAAATGAGAAGCAGCAGCCTTGCAGTAATGTGAATTGTGCTAAATAAACGTATTTGTTACGGGAACAAAATTTCCTTCAAAAAGCGTTTTTCTCCCAGACTCAGCTCTCTGGGATGGACTCTGTCCCTGCAGGAAAATGGTGACTCTTCCCTTTGAAGCCCACTTATCTCATGCTGACATTCTCAGAGGAAGGTGCTATGTCACCCACAAACCTCCTTTTATTTCCCATAAAAATGTAAATCAGCCTATTTTTTCCCCCCAACAACCTTATGTAATGAGCAGTGTCCTTACTCAATCATTTTGAAGATGTGCTTTAGCCTCTATTTTATGCAGGAATCTGTAAGAATGAACCATTTCCTTTCCTTTCCTTCCCTGATATTTCAGTGCTTGCTCCTCTGCCTGCTTCAAAGCTCTGTGGCCATTCCTGGTGTGGGCAGGACCTAAAAACAGCTCAGAGGACAACAGCAACACCTTTATATTTTCCCAAGGATATAAAATAAGTTTTTCCACAAGTAAATTGCCAGTGCTTTTGGGAAAAGAGGGGCAGGCCCTCAGAGCCAGCTGGGATGTGTAAGTGTACAAATCTGTGTATATTTGTAATTATAAATGAGGCTTGTCCTCCATGATCAAAATTTCAAGACACTATCCTTTACAGGACCCAATTTTCCTTTGCTTACAGCACTGTCACACATTACCCACAGCAGATGAAATGCTCTCTTCTGGGGGCAGAATCACAGTGAAAACAAAGGAAAAATAGGGAATTTTAGTCAAAACATTTCAGTTGCTTTTGAGGGCAAAGAACCCCATGGTCTTGGTGGGTTTCCAGTAACCAGGTCAGCAAATCCTACACCTGGCCCCAAGAGAAGATAATTTTTGTGTCAGAGATTCATCTGATAGAACCAGAAATCTCCCACTGTCCTCATGAAGATCCACCCAGACTTCTCCAACCTGGGGAAAACTTCACTTCTTCTGCTTTCTGTATTATTCACTTGTCATTTCCTGCCCTGGATGAAGTATTCCAGCCTGTATAGTTCTTCCTTGGGTGAAAGCTACTCCATTTCTTTAATTGTCTTTCATGTCCACCTTCCCCTCTTCTAGATCTGCTGTGCAAAGCCACGTGTCAATTTTGAGTCAAGGGGATCTCGACACATGGAGCAGTTGGAGCAGAATCCCACTGTGGATGGAGGTATGGCAGACCAGGGTTTCCTGTTCTCTCTGCTTCAGTCTCTATCATTCCTAAAAATAATGTTCCAACCAACTTCCAGACTTGAAATCCTGGAGCAACACTGACCAGGAGGGCTGGGGTCTTCCAGAGACCCCCACACTGAAGCCCCTGGGTGCCTTCATAACCCTTTTTTTAGAATAGTTTGAGTTGGAAGGGACTTTAAAGCTCATCTTGCTCCACCCCTGCCATGGGCAGGGACACCTTCCACCATCTCAGGCTGCTCCAAGCCCCATCCAACCTGGCCTTGGACACTGCCAGGGATCCAGGGGCAGCCACAGCTGCTCTGGGCACCTGTGCCAGGGCCTGCCCACCCTCACAGGGAACAATTCCTTCCCAATATCCCATCCATCCCTGCCCTCTGGCAGTGGGAGCCATTCCCTGTGTCCTGTCCCTCCATCCCTTGTCCCCAGTCCATCTCCAGCTCTCCTGGAGCCCCTTTAGGCCCTGCAAGGGGCTCTGAGCTCTCCCTGGAGCTTCTCCTCTCCAGGGGAGCACCCCCAGCTCTCCCAGCCTGACCCAGAGCAGAGGGGCTCCAGTCCTTGGAGCATCTCCATGGGCTCCTCTGGACTCCAACAGCTCCACATCCTTCTGATGCTGGTGCCCCAGAACTGGGGGCAGCCCTGCAGGTGGGATCTCACCTGAATCCCACCCTCACCTGCCACCCATGCTGTGGGATGAGCCCAGGGTAATGCTGGCTTTCTGGGCTGCCCCCTCAATGGGGGCCCCAAATACCACCTGCTAAAAGATAAGCAAATCCTCTTTTTTTGTTTTTGGTGGTGTGGGTTTTTGGTGGTTTTTTGTTGTTTTTGTTTGTTTGTTTTTGTTTTGGTTTGGTTTGGGTTTTTTTTTTTTGGTTGGTTTCATTTAGTTTTGGGGTTTGTTTTTTGGTTTTTGGGTGGGGTTTTTTTGTGTTTGGTTTTGGTTTTGTTTTAGGTCTTTTTCAAGTCTTTACCCTTTACCACAGGCTTCCCATCCCCTACCACCCATACTCTCTCTTTCCTCTGCCTAGTTTCAGAGTAAGGAATCCACACATGATGTTTTCTCTCCAGGATATGGTGAACTGGCTGGCAGGTTGTCTGATGAGAAGGAATCTGCCCCGGGACACCGTGGGATCCTCTGCCTATTGTTTGTCATGGAAAAGGGAAGATACCTGCATTCAGCCACTACAGAAACCAGGAATGCCAGCTCAAAATCTGGAACATGATGCTGCTGTGGCTGAAGGAGGCTCAACCCCACGTCCTTGGCCACCCAGGTGCGTTCACAGGGGTCCCACAGCCGGGGGTCCCTGGGTGCCCCGAGCTGCCTGGCTGTGGGGTGTGTGGGGCACAGGGGGCCGGGATGCGCTGCTGGATGGTCTGGGTTGCTTTGCTGAAGCCTGGGCCAGGACCCCCGACAGCCTCCAGCTTATCCCCACGTCCGCAGCGGGTTCTGCCCGCTCGCTGGACACGCTCAAAGTTCAGGGTGCTATAAATACCCGGGCACAGGGCTGCCAGCCCGGCGCGGGGGGTGGGGGCTGCTAAATCCCAACGGGCTTTCGTTCCAATTAACCCTGTGCGTGCACCAGTCCCCTCTGTGCGCTTTGAAAAAGAGGAACCCTTCCATTCGAAATGTGTCTAAAGCCAGAAGAGAGCAGCAAACTCCTTCTGTGGGCTGATTCCTGCTGAGAAGAGCCCTGGGGTTGGTACCAGGACTGTAAGAGCACAGGGCCCTGGAGGAGGTTGCAGTGGATGTGTGTTTTGTGGCCAGCAACACCCACAGCTGCCGTGTGACCCCCCCAGCTTGGGCAGGTCCTTGTGTTGGCAATGCAGTGGTGTGGATTCAGCATGGCTTGGGTCCCCCCATAAAGCAGAGGCTGCCTGTGCACCCCACATTCCCCACAGATCATGGCTTCATGCTACACAGCCCCACACTCTGCCCCCCACAGAACACGACCCCACCCAACATGGCCCCACAGAGCACAGCCCCAAACCCAGCCCTGTATGTCCCCATACACCGCAGCCCTGTGCCCCCCAGCCTGCCCTGTGTCCCGGGCACCACCTGCAGGACTTCTCTGAAGCGCTAAAACGCATCGAAGAACTTGAAGGGCAACAGAAACTCACTAAATCAGTACAGGCTCCAACCCCACCTTGGGAACAAGCCCAAAACGTGCAGTCCCCAGCGGTGCCAGGTCACCCGAGGTAGAGCACAGCACGTCACCTGCAGCAGGGTGTGAAGCAGCTCCCTGGGGAGCCGCACCGAGGAGACGCCTGTGACCCCACCCACAGCTGTACACAGCCCTTTTGTGGTGCCAAACCTTATCTTTTTAACCATTTCCCTCCCACACCTTACCCCGCCGGGCTGAGGGGAGAGGCAGTCTGTGAGGAAGAGCCTCTTGCCCCTTTTTCCTACTCAAACCACGGGCGATGGGAAACTCGGAGAGAACAGAGGACAAGCCACAGCGGCAGAGCCCCGCGGGCTGCGTGCTACCCCCGGCTCCTGCTGGGGCTGGACACAGCTCAGTGCACACAGGGCTCAGTGACAGCGGCCCAGGACTGGCCGAAGGTGATCTCCAGCTCCATGGGGCCAGGCTGCACATCCCCATGGCCTCGCAGGCAGGGGCTGACCCTGTCCCATGCCTTCGGGAATGTCGCAGCTGCAAGGGACCCTTAGCCTTGCTCAGGTGACAGTGCCACCAGAACAACCTCATTTCAGCCATGGAAATGTCACCTTTTGGGTCCCTTCAGGCCAAGCAAAGGCACATTCATCACCTCACTCTCCATCATCTCCTCTTCCCCCATCATCACCGCAGCTCCTGTGATGCAAAATACCTCCTTGTTGCACTTGGATGTCGTGGCTCTTCCTGATACCTGACCAGGATTTTCAGGTCATCACTCCTGTGGCTAACAGGGTCCTGCCCCACAGCTGTGCCCTGTCCCATTCCCCACAGTCCCTGTGCTGCTCTGGGATGTGGCTGCCCCAGAGCTGGTCCCCTCAAGCTCCAGGGCCACTGTGAGTGGCACTGCTGGACTCTGTGCATGGCACAGCACCGGAGCAAATGAGCCTGGCAGGTGGCACTAGGGGGTGATAAAGGCCAAGGCCGGGACATGCCAGGCCCTGCGGCCTTGCCAGTCCCTCCTGTCCTCTTGTCCCCAAGACCACCCCAGCCCCAGCTGCTGGCGGGGACAAAGGGGAGAACTGCAGGTTTCCGCCTATCATAGTCCCATTGCTTTGTGGGGTCTTTCCTGGCATCTTCAGTCTTTGGGAAGCATCTTTGGCACCAAGGAGCCTTAGGGCATTTACACCTTTATGCAGCAGGTATAAAAGCAAAGCCCATCCAGAAAGGAGGAGAAGAGATATAACTCCCAGAACAGGGGTCAGCAGGGAATGATGAGTCCTGGTACATGGCCTGGAAGCAGAGAGGGACACGTGCTACAAGACCTCAGCTGGAGGCTCAGCCCATCACATCTGACTCCCCTTTCCTATTGCCCCTAGGTGCACTTGACACCAGCACAGCTGTGACAGCCTTTATAGGACCCCACCACCAGCAAACTGGGCACCTTCAGGGCTAAAAACCATTTCAGGGGACCTCTGGGTCAAGGTACCAGCCTGGTACCACACCAGCTCCTCTGTTCCCTGGATGTTCCCTTTTCCACAGGCTCCCCATGGCCCCTGAGCCGAGATGAGATGAGATGAGATGAGATGAGATGAGTTCACCAGGTAGAGTTTGGGGGAGCTCCTGGCAGACAAGGAGCTGAACCAGCAGGACTTGCCCCCAAAAGGGCTGCTCATGCCCAGCTGGATCACAGTGGCACCTACAGGTGCAGCTGTGGCTCCTGAGGTGTGAATCAGTGCTGGGTGCTGGGGCAGGAACTGTGCAACAGCAGCTCTGCAGGCAGGATCCGCATAGGGGGGCACTTTCCCCTTGTATTTTCTATGGATTAGAAAGAAAAGTTAAATTATTTCCTCTTTTTCCAGGAAGAAGGATTCAGAGTGTTGCTGGCACAAAGTTATAAAAAAATGCTACTAATACACGTTTGTACATCACTACATCACTTGCAATGCCATCAAACCACCATGCCCTGGGGACCTGGGCTCACTGGGTACATGCCTGAGCTCCCCGCAAAAAATCCACACAAACTCCACACATAAAAACACCCCAAACCACCAACCTGCTGCAAAGTTGTGTTTTCTCTTCAACTTCCCAGTTTGGTCACAACCACAGCACACAGAGGCAATACTTGCCCTGCAGCCACATCTCTGGTTTGCTCATATTTACAATTATTTAGAGCTCCAGCTTCACAGTTTCCAACATTCTCTCTCCTAAACTTCATGACTGCCGGCGCAGGAGGGGAATGGGGCTGGTAACACGATAGGGATGTTGGCCTCGGACCAGGAGGCTGGATGCAGAGGGTGGAAGGCAGAGGGGTGCCCAGGCTGGTGTGTTATCCAAGCCCCTGCAGGAACAAGGTGTCTTTGGCTTGATGTGAGCTGGCAAGAGCAAGAGGAGGGAAGGAGATCCTTCGTCAGCACTTTGCTATGCACTGTGCTCCCTGCTCCCCACTGCCCAGACACACAGACTCACCACTGCTGTGGTGGCAGGATAGCTGTTCCCAGGGCTGCTCATCCTGGGTCCTTTCTCCCCCTCAGGCCGGCAAAATTTCATGTTCTGCTTCAGCTTGGTTCCAAAAAGCAGAAACCAACACAACATCACTGCTTTTCACATGCCATGAGGTGAGCGAGGTGCACGCAGCAGCACCTGAAGGGTCACCCCATGTGCCAAGAGTCCACTGACAGAGGTGGCTCCAACATGATTCTGTTGTATAGAAGAGCTGACAGTCTGTGCCCAGACCCTGTCACAACCTCTAAACCCTCAGAGGGCTCTGGTAGAAGTCTGGAGTTTGCATTGTCCCTTACCCAGGCAGATCCACGGGTTTGCAAACCAACCTAGAAGTAAAGGCTCATTTTTTCTGCTAATTTTTCAATAACATTAAATAAGGCCAGAAGCATTCCCTGAGACAGCTCAAGGCACCCAGTGCTGTGACTGCAGCACAGCTTCCCCCCTCTGGAATGCATCATGTGCCACCACAGAATCCAGTCCAGGATCTTGGGCTGCAAATGGACAGAGATTGGGGTTTATTTCAATTGTTTCCATGCTGGTTTTCTGCATTTAATTGATCATTCCTAAGATTGTGCCCTTCTGCCACATGTTCTACACATCATTTCCCATCTCCCAGCTTGGACACAGCCTTTGAAAAAAGACATTTCACCTCCAGTGTGCCCCTGGCACTACCACAGCCCCTCTGCAGGCAGAGCCGGGCTCTTCCCAAAGGTTCCCTCGCTCAGGCACCTTGTGCCAAGCCCAACACGGTCACTTTGCCATCGAGTGTCAAGTACAAAGCATATGCAGGACAGATGGGTATGAGTTTATAAGATAATTAAGCATGCTAATCAAGTTCATTTGCATATAGCTTTTAAATTCCCATCAACTCTGTGAGGCTGGGAAATGAGAAATGCTGCTTGACGTCACAAAGCAGCAGAAGTTTAGTTACCAAAGCAAAGTAGTGATTAATGAGCGAGACCCAAAGCTGCTGTGGCCAAGCTGAGCACAGCCCTGCAGGTCCCCCTGGCAGAGCCACGACACACGATGTCCCTCATGCCACTGCAGTAGCCATTAATACAAACTGCTGTGGGCTTTCCCCCCCAGAGAGAGCAGGGGGAAATCATTGCTCCAAAGAAATGATGCAGATTTCATTGCTCCAAAGAAATTTGACCCAGAGATGAAGGAAAAGCTCTTTGGTGTGAAAAGTCGGTGGCTGATGTGGGAAGCCAGGTGAGAGCACCCTCTCCATGGGCTGCCCCTGAAGCAGGACCAGGGCAGAGTCTTTGGATGGAGCCATGGTGGATGGCACAGCAGGGAGAGGCAGATGGGCATTCCCTGGGCAGAGATGCAGCCCAGGACTGTCACCCAGACAGAGCTGGAGCAGCCCCAGGAAAACGGGGGAATAACCTGGATTGGAGATCCCAAAGATACCCCAGGGGAACCAGGGCAGGAGCTGGCAGATGTGCTCCACACCCACCTCCCACAGTGCTGGAGCTGGGAGGGCACTGGGGTCCTAAAATGTGGCCAAGCCTGGGCCAGAGGTCACCTGCAAGTTCTCACCTCCACAGGAGAGCAGAAATATCACCTCTGGTTAAGCAAGGAGGGCAAAGGCCAGGCAGTTTCCAGCCACCCCGGGTCACAGACTGGGAGATGGCTCCAGGTGCTGCAGCACCTCTCCATTACCCCCAAGGTGATGGTGGTTCCTCAGAAGTGGAAACCCTGAGAGTGGCACAGCCAGGTGGTACAGAACCTGGGAGCACCCCCACACCAATAACCCATGTGGTCAGGTACCACTCACCTTCCCAGCACACAGGGCAATCCTGAAGCCTCTTTCTACCAGAGGAGGAAGAAGCCAATGGATCCAACAGAGATCCCATTCTGCAGCAGGCCTGAGCTGCCAGATCCCTGGCAGCAGCTGTAGATGAGAGACATGGAACTGCTCCGGGTTGGCCCTGGTGTCCCTCACTGTCCAGTTGGGCCGAGCACCCAAGGCTCACTGGGGACAAACACAGCCCAGACTTTCAAAACAGCTGTGAAACATCTCCCTGAGAGATCTTTGGGCTTTTCTTGTTACACATCCCCACATAAACTAACCACACACAGGGTGGGTCTTTCAACACCCAACATCGTTGTACGACACATCCTGACCACGAAACAAAGCACAGAGAGAAAAGAAACTTTAAAGTGGGCTTACCCAGGACAAGACAAACTGAAAACAGCAAGACTGGATTCATTTGAAATACCTTGACCAGATTTATTAAAAAATATCCCTTGGCAGTTGACAATCACCACGATCCACAATCAGAACCTGACTGGACAACATTGGAACAGTTTTCACCTACAGCAGAAGGCGAATACCTGGGAACACCCCAGCAAGGCCTACACACCCCTACTGGCATTAAACACTGGGCTGGCACTGAGGAGCTCAGGGCAAATGCTGGCTGTGGTGCCAATTACACCACAGGTGTTAATTACAGTGTGCTCTGATACTCACCTGGTCTGTGGGAAAAAAACAAATGTTCAAAATACGGGGGAAAAGAATCAGTCCAGAGAAGGACCCAGAGAAACTGGACACTGCTTTGATGCAGCTCTTGCTCTGCTGCAGCCAAGGAAGAGTAGGGAAAGGGAAGCTGGACAGTGTGGCTGGACACATTCAGAGATGTTCTGCTGCCTGGTGAGAAGGGTTTGGTGCTGCAGGACACAATGGTGGTGGGTCACTGGTCATCGACAGGCAGCATCTGCCAGGTCAGACCCTGACTGGGGAGGGCTCAGGGCCTCATTAGGGCTTCCATTCCCCAGTGAAACCCAATGAACACACACCGAGATGCTGACAAGAAATCCCAAGAGAGGTGGGGGGAGTGGGACAGACAGACAGACACTGGGTTTGTTCTTTGGGCCAGATTCCTGTTTTGGAACTATCAAGGTTCCTCTTCTTGCCCAGCCACTGCCACTCAGCCAGTCCTTCCTCTGTGGACACTCACTCCAGAAAAACTTCATTCCCCTTTCCAAGGAAATTAAAGGGATCTGAATAAGGCACTGAAATTCCAGAGCAGACCATCAATGCTCTCTGTCAAATAGAAAAATAACTATTTAAAGTTCATCTCCGGTTTTGGCCAACACAAGTTCCCTGTGGGGAAAAGCTCTGTCCAGCAGTGATCTAAGGTGGCTGCAGAGGTGCTGCCAGTGGCAGCTGCACGGCTCCTTCCCAGTGCTTCAGAGCTGGATTGAAATAAGGAAAAATTAGGAAGGAGTTGTCTTCTCAGCCTGGGCACTGGGAATAGGAAGGTCATCCACTGCCAACCAACATATCAAAGTGCAGCACGTCTACGTGACAAATCCCTTCCGTGTTTAAGATGCCTCCTAAATATGCACCTAATCAAAAATTAACTTGGTGGCTTCACGATTATCAAAGAAATATTGTTAAAAGCCAGATCCAAACCGAAGGGCTGAAAAACCTATTCCAAACTATTCTTCTTCCAGATCATGTGCCAAGGGCTGTGGCTGAAGTGGGGTTGGAGCAAAAATACGAAAGCAAAACCGATTTGGAGTTGACACAGTGTATTGTGAATTACTTCTCAGCTTTTCTACATCTAAGAGAGAATGAAATGATCGGCCGTACAGTGGAACACTTTAATATACAATAGATTACAGAGCTGCAGATAATACGCGTTGGATCTATATACACACAGAGCTTAACAGTTCACAGATACAACTTTTTGCCATCTCGGTTTGTCCACGAAGCATTGGCAGAGTATTTACAGTGAGGCTGCTGCGAGGAAGCCCCGTCCCCCGTAGAGCCCCGGGCGAGGCTGCCCCAGCAGGGGGTGTAAACAGAGCGGTTCTTTCCTTCTGCAAAGGGAGGGAGAAGGTGGGAACATGGCTGCGCTGGGCAGGAGGGAAAGGAACCAGAAAAAAATAATGTCCAGCTAACCTGGAGACTTCAATACACTTCAATTTGCCTTTTAAAATATTTTAACTGGAAGCTGTTATCAAATTCATTTTCAATTTGTAATTCAATAATGTTTTAATGGCATTTTCAATTTATGCTTTATATCCATCTATATTTCTATCCATCCCCACATGTGCTTGTGCAAGGACAGGGAGTACTGAAGCTCTGGGTCAGTGCTAAGGGGGCTTCTCAAGGAAGCAGGGGATGCTCAGGGGCCTGTGCTGGCTCCCAGGCCACTCCTTGCCCTTGGCAAAACAAAGCCAACCCTGGTCTCAGCTGATCACTGCAAAACTCTGCTTGTGATCAGGTACCACCACCTCGACACCCAGTGATGGCTTTTACAGGGGGATCACTGTGTGGGTGTCATTGTGTGGACAGAGGATGGGCAGACCCAACCCAAACCCCAACCCCAACCCTTATCCTCAGCCCCAGCGGGTCGTGGTCGGACAGAGTGCTCTGATTCCCAGTGCAGGCTTTCCGTAACCAGCTGAAGTTTGCTCCATGAGAAAATCAAAGCAATAGGCAGGAAGGAAGGTACATTTACCATGGCCTAGCTGCTGTAGCAGGCAGCAGCCCAGAGCAAACCTCCCCAGAGCTTGGGGACAGCTTGGGTGCTGGAGCTGCTGCTGCCCAGGCTCCACTGTGGGACCTGCATGGCAGCTCCTCCACTGGGGCTCTTCCCAATTGATCCCCTTTTCCATCATTTACATCCCTGCCTTGTCCCCCTCAGTGCTGAAAGGATGAAAGGGTGAGAAAGGAGGAACCCAGCCCTTGCCACCAGCAAAGACAACATCTGATGCTAAGTTAAGAAAATTGTTTCATGGAAAGAAGGAGCTTTCCTGAGCAATTCAACACCTAAAGCTATCCAGCTGACACTGGGCAGTGAGGTGACTTTCCTGACAGCACATGGCGGGGGCTTGTTTACCTGTTCCTGGGGAACTGGCTGGCCAAGGTCCTTGTCATCTTTGGATACTGCTGCTGCCTCCCTGCAAACCAGAGACACTTGCCATCGAGCAGGAAAAATTCCCAAATACTCAGCACGACCTCAGAACTGCGTTTCTTGTTCCAGCAGATGTCGGAGTTGTTAAGGCTCTTGGCTTTAAAGAGTTTATTACTTTGGAAGTTTAAAGCTGGACTTGCAGCAGGGTGTAGCAGGTCTCTGTCTCAGCACAGGTATTATGTGTCTCTGTATCTCAGCATGGGCTCTGACAGCAGAAGCAATTAAACTGGGGAGAGGGTGACTGGTACCTGTGGGCTCCTGGAACATCTGCTGGTGCCAGTGGGACCACGCCAGTACCTGTGCAGTGGCCAAACACTGGCTGAGGCAGTGACACAGAGCAGAGCTGGCAGTGCTGCCTCCTCCTCCTTTGGACATGATGGAGTGGTACATCCAGTACTGGAAATAAACCCTAAACACAGCTCTGGGCTCACCTGGAAAAGGCAAAGCTTCAGAGTCACTAAAGAGGCATTTCCCCTTGGACACAGCCACAGATGGACAACATGCTATGTGTCCTTCCCTGCCCTGAGATGTATCTCCAGCACAAATCCATACAAACCATCTTCAATTCCAAAGATGGAATGCACTAAGGTAGAAACAAATGAAGACTTGAGTAACTGAGGGAGGAAAATGAGGAAAAACTTGAGAAAGTAACTTTGATTCATCTGAAGGAGGATTTGAGAATTGATGGCCAAATCAGTGACATGCAAGTGGTGGCACTGGCTTATATCACACATCCAGCAACGAGTTGGATGACAAACTGGTCAGAGCATCACCCATGAGAGTGGGAACTTAAACTTGTACCAACTGTTCCTCGCCAGGACCTTCTCTGCAGTTCTTCAATTCAGTGAACAGTGCAATTTCTGGACATTAAAATCCATTCCAGGCATGGAGATGCTCCAAGGAGTGGAGCCCCTCTGCTCTGGGTCAGGCTGGGAGAGCTGGGGGTGCTCAGCTGGAGAGGAGAAGCTCCAGGGAGAGCTCAGAGCCCCTGCCAGGGCCTAAAGGGGCTCCAGGAGAGCTGGAGAGGGACTGGGGACAAGGCATGGAGGGACAGGACACAGGGAATGGCTTCCCACTGCCAGAGGGCAGGGATGGATGGGATATTGGAAGGAATTGTTCCCTGGCAGGGTGGGCAGCCCTGGCACAGGGTGCCCAGAGCAGCTGTGGCTGCCCCTGGATCCCTGGCAGTGCCCAAGGCCAGGCTGGACAGGGCTTGGAGCAGCCTGGGATAGTGGAAGGTGTCCCTGCCCATGGCAGAGGGTGGCAAAAGATGGTTTTTAAGGTCCCTTCCAACCCAAACCATTCTGGGATCCTGTGCAATTGCTGCAGTGAGCCAGAGAAGAGGGAGACACAATGGAGCACACCAAGGCTGGGACAGGAGATGCTGACAGCGGCCTTGGGGCCATTCCAGAAGTGTGGGACACCAAGGGCTGTGCCTCAGACACCGATGCCAGGTGGGACAGCTCCTGAGGAGGGTGCTGAGCTCCACCCCTGAGCACGGGTGTGGGTACACCCTGAGCTCCTGCCTCCAGCTCCTGGCCAGCCTCAGGCTGGGCAGCTGGGTTAGGGCAGCACATGTTTAGCAGCTACAATAAGGAACCAGGAAAAAAAAAAAAGCTTTAAATATCTTCCACCAATCTGTTTTGTCCAAACTAATTTTCTTTCTCCCAAGCCAATATTGACTCCTGAAGGCAAGGAGCAAACAGTTCTGTACGTGTTGTACAGCTCAGGCCCTTATCAGGGCTGAGACAGAAGTTCAGTTCACATCAGAAAGACTTGAAAGAGATTTTATACAAAATGTGTATTTTTTTTCTACCAGAGCTTGACCACATGTCTGCAAAGCACCTCTAACCTCCTTCCCATGGCACCCTCAAACTGCACCAGTGTCAAGACAAGACACACTCCACCCGTTTCATCTTCTCCCTTAACCTCTACAGAGCCTGTTGTTTCATTTTAAACAAACTTTTTAAGTAAGACAGATGCAATGAGCTCCTGCTGACTTTCACCAATAAAACTGTCTGTACAGAGTTCAGAGGGTGGTGTTAATGCAGATTTTAATAAAATTAGCCCATTTTAAGGCTCTCTGGTTCCCCACTCAGCTTTAGAAGCTGAGGCTCTGCTTGACACCTGAGACACCTTCCAGCACTCCTGGACATAGAGATCAGCCCTTGAAACCAGCCAGCAGCTCGTTCCACATTCCCTCCTCCTCTCCCCAGTTCCAGACCTGGAAGCACTTTACCATACGGAGCCAAAGCACGACACTGTGTCCTGCCTATGAACTGATACCTTCACACCATGGCAGCACTCAGACAGCTCCAGGGCCTGCAGGAATTGGTGAGTGATGGTTACTAATTCCAACTTTTTTATAGGATTTTGCAGAATACCACTGCCACTGCCTGCACAGTTCAGTCTCAGCAACAGCAAAGAGCAATTCAAGTTTTACCCCAGGAAACAAACCAAGGACTGCTACACCCTGCAGAGAGAACTCAGAAGGAGAAAAACATTGGAGCAAATGACTTTGCTGCCCAAATCGATGTTCCACAAGCAGCCAGTCAAGTCTCAGGAGTACTCTGATACTTCAGCTGGCTTTTCACAGCTGCCTGGGCATTGAGATGGCAGTGCCATGGCCCTGGGTCATCCCTGCACCTCCACCTTGACTGTTCCCACATGCAAATCATTCTGTTCTTACAGTCAAACCACCCCTCTGGCATTTCCAGCAACTGGAAAAATCACATCAATATACAACAACTGCATTTTAAAATTTAATTCTTAAATTTAACTGCAGGGACGTTCCTCTTCTGTATCTTCTGTCACCACCATGAGGAGGAAACTGCAGCTGTGACCAGGCAAAATGGACCAAGGCACCAAAGCAAACATAATGTCCCCTTTCCTCAGGACACAGGGAGGCACCAGCAGCGACAGCAGCACCCGGAGCCGTGAGCTCTGCTCAGGTTTTGCCATGCAATGGGGAACACACAGGTTCCCAAAGGTGAGGAGACAGAGGCAACAGCCACCTGTGTATCCCATCCAGATGGAGGAAACGAGATCACAGCAGGGGAGAAAGGAGAAAAAAAATTTAAATTTAGCAGAACCTCTCCAAGCCAAGGTGCAGATTTAAACAGCCAAAGGCATTACAGCCAACCTCAGGCACCTTCAGCCTCTTGAGATGTTGTGATGTGAATTAACTGCTCCCTTGCAACACCTTTTGCTGTACTCAGACTGAAAGTTTTAGAAACAGGTCAAAATTAGCAATTTTAAAATGCCAGAAACCCTAAAAACTTGGCCTTTTACTCAGGAATAAACTCCTCTTTAGCTAAAGCTGCTATGGGCACAGGGAGCTCCCTTCAGTTTTGTTCTGGGCACCTCCTTTATGTGTTTTAGCCCTAAAAGAAAAATATCCAAATACTTATGTTTTGTGAAAAGCCCTTGGGGAACCCCCCCTTTCCTCCCCTCATTCTGTCACTCCTGGGGCACAGCAGGAGCTGCAGCCTGTGGCACTGTCCCACTCTGCTCACAGTGCTCACGTTACCTCCAGCAAAGGGGAATGGCCCCAAATCCAGGGAAGTAACAGCAAATCTGTCCTCAAAATCCTGATACCAGAAGTTAATCAATGGGAATGTCATTTCTCACTGCAAAATCTCTCACAGGAGCAGCAGGGAGGAAAAAGCACGTTGGTGTGTTAGCAGCACATAAGACCTGACTGCTGACAGTATTCTGTGCACTCCTCGTCACTCTGCACCCTGAGCAGGTGCTGCAAGTGGCAGAAGGCAACATGGGGTTCACAAATACTCAGCAATCTCCCCAGTCCCCTTCTCTGGACCATTTTTAAATCACTGCCACTAAACCACCCTAAAGATTGGAAGCACAGCCACGCATGGATTGTCCATGTGGAATAAACCCCTGGGGATCCAGCCAACCCCCCACGTTCACTGACAGCACTGCTGGCACCAACAGCACACACACCACAGGCATTTTAATGGAGTGAACTTTGCCTGTGGCCTCCCACCAGCACACGTGTCAGGAATTCTGCAGCACAGCCACACAACACTGCTCAAACGCCTCCGGAGTAATTTTGGTGTCAGGATAAATCTTCAAAAGCGTAAGGGGAGGTGTGAAGGTTCAGCTCACACTGCTTTACAACACAACCAGGTATCTCCTTGCACCTGGAAAATCTCACACTCCAAACCACCCATTGAGAACTGAACTTCTCGATTTGGTTACTCCACTGCATCGAAGAGATTTAACCCCTGGCAGCCCCAGCTGTGGAGTTCTTGCTGCTGTTCTGGCAATGAGCAAACGGGGCACACGGGTCACCCAGCAGGAGCCTTTTCCCAATCCAGAGGTAAGGCAGAGTCTCATCACTGTCAGTTCCCAGAGCAGACAACAGCCCTTGGTTTCTGAGTTCACCAGCGCTGCTGTCCTCAGTGTCTTTATTTGCTTAGTGCCAACAAAGAGAGGCCCTGGTGGGTTTGGAGTTTGGTATTTGGATGTTCCCATAAACCCAACAATACTCCCACAGCCCCACACCACAGCAGCACAGGAGCCTTGTGTTCTTTATAGGCTGGAGGAGAAGGATTCTGCATCCTGAACAATGAAGAGGAAGGTGGTTGGGGTCTGCAGTCCCATTCCAGCACCTTCTCCTTTTGGGTTTAACCACAGGTTGCCAACCCCTCCCGGTGCAGGGCTGGGCTGGGGGAGGTTTGGTTATTGTGCAGCGTCTCAAGGAAACAGCACGTCCTGCCTGAGCTCTGCCCCGGCACACAGCTGAGCAGGGAGAGAGCAAGGATGGCAGGTCTATAAAACTGGGAGAAAGAAGTGACAGGGAGAAAGGCTGGAACGACTCCAAGGTAATAACATAACACTGGAAGGCATGTAAACAATTCTGGATCATGTTAGCTCCTTGTTTGTAGGAAAAGGAATACTGACACAACTGAACCAAGAACCCTAACAATGGTTTCAGGTACACATTCTTCATATGCAAGAGGTATTTGCAGAATTACTACCTGAAAGTTGCAACCCACTGTGGGGAGGGGGAAGTTGTAACCTAGAGAGTAGGAAGCTGCTAGAAAACTGCCCCCAAAACCACCTCACATTGCTGCTCATGGGAACAGCCTCCAAACAGGAACAGCATCTGTGGCACAGGGATTTGGGGGTGAGGATCCCCTGGTTTGCTGTGTGCTGGCAGATTGAGCGAAGGATTAATTCTGAGCAGCTTTCCCATCAAATGGAATACTGACATGCATGAACAGTAGCTTTGCATTACCTGTGCACAGAGTACTGTTCAACTGAGATCCAGAAATCCCACAGAAATCCCACAGAAATCCCATCTGAGAAAGGCTTCATAGGCTCCATGCCGACTGTGGTGTAGAGATGGATCTCCACCAGCTGAACAGAACCCCACAAGGGATACATTTATTACTCATACCCCAAAATCACATGGGGATGAGAGGAAGAATCAATACATTCTGACTTGAGTTCCGATGGAAAGAGGCCCCAGCTTCCACCAGCAGCCAGTGCAGCACCACCTTTCCCCAGCTCTTCCCTGGCTGGTCAGCTTGTTTTGGGAATAAAAATCCTTTCACTTTATTTGGTGTCAGAGGGAGTTGGCTAAACTAGAACAGTTGAATGGTCAGTATGATCCCCAGCAGGGCATCCAACGCCAGAGAGGGAGGTGGTGGAAGCATGCAGAGGGCAGACTGGCACAGCCTAAGCCCCCAGTCCCAGTTCCCCCTGTGCAAGCAGCTCCTGGGCTCCTGCTGCCTCTGCTCCGAGGGACCTGCACAGAGCTGTCCGCAGGGCTGGGAAATGATTGTGCTTCTCAGCTCACTACAAGGACTCTTTTCCCTATTCCTGCTTTCAGCAGCAGGAAGGGAGCATTCTGATTTTTTCCCTGCTGCAAAAGCAGTGTGTGTGTGTGTGTGTGTGTGTGTGTGTGTGTGTGTGTGTGTGTGTAAAATCCTGAAAAATAATTGTGCAGCACCATTGGTTCAGTCCAGAGGGAAGCTGGGATACTCAGCTGTGTTTGGTGGCTTCCAAAGTGCCACCAGCTTGGAACCAAATATTGCCTAAGGTAACATCCTCACAGTGGTTGGTAGTTCAAAGAGGCTCAAACACTGTCTTATTACTCCTGTTAAATCCACGAACAATCCATCTCTCCCGGTCCCTTCCGCACGCGAAAATTCCCAAACGAAATTTAAAAAACCCCAAAAAACCAAACAGGAATAAAATAAATAAATAAATAAAGGCATTCCCAAAACATTTATTTTGCTTCTCTCTTTCTCTCTCTCCAATCAGCTCAGAGACACCGATGTCACCTACCTTCGCCCACTGAGCTGCGTACGGAGCCGGGAGCCCTGAACTGCAGCACTCCCGTGGTCTCTCCTGCTTCTGGAAAACTGTCCCAACCCTCCTTCCATTCCCACGGATCAGTAACTCATTGGCTATATGGAAAAGAAGTTATCCAAAGCACACGATGGCACATGGAGGCTGCAGAAAGCATCGGGAAAGGAGAACAGAACGACAGCAGCTGTTCCTCCTGCCCTAACTAAAGGCTGAGCCACGGCACAACTCCCCCTCCAGCCCGACCCAAAGGCTGTCACCCCTCGCCCAGACATTCTTGTGGTGCATTACTGGCACTTTATAGCAGTCTCATATGGTAGATACATGCACATGTCTGTGTGTTACATACAAAAGGTCTGATAACAGTAAAACATTGTTCCGAGAGATATAAAAAACCCAAGGAGTTGCATTAGCCAAAAAAAGTGTTTTGTGAGAAACAACAATAAAAATGATATAACCACAGCTTTTCTTTTCTTTAAAATTAGATAAATACCCAAAGCTATGATTTCACTTGGGGCCTCTGTACCTTGACAGGGAGTCCAATGGAGTATATCTGAAGGCACTTAATATCCTCTACTCAGCTGTAAGATGGTTGCACAGGGAGCTGGGGAGCTTGGGATGTGGTTTGGGGCATGGAGGAGACAGATGGATGAAAACAAGCCCTGAAGAGCCATGATCCACACAGCCCCAGGTGCCGAAATGAACACAAACGTACAACCCAGGTGTGGAGAAGGTCTCTCTTGGAAAAGAAAACTGCCAATTGCAAAAGTCTGTGTGTTTCTATGGACAGAGCACTTCATGCAACTCTGACAGTTCATCATACACTCTTAGAGATATTTAGCTTTGTCAGTTCATTGACCTCCTCAGTCCCCGTTTCCTCACAGTCATCCTTTTCCGTGGCTTTGCCAAACCTGCACCTCTCCTCTGCCTTCGCCGCGTCTTTCTGGAGCTTCTTGGCGGAAGGAAGGATGTCCTTGGCTTCTGAGTTATCTGTGCCATGGGCTATCTTATCAGAATTCTGTACAGAAGGCACCAGGTTGGCAATCTCATCCGTCGGAGACCGCCCAATGCTGCCATCCACTTGCACCCGAATGTCTGGAGATATGGACAACTGGTGATGTGGCACGATCCCGTTGTCCATGCACTTGGGGTAAAGGTAGGTCTTCATCTGACCCTTCCCCTTCACATTGACCGTCCCCCTGTAGTCAAAGTCATACCCCATCTTGTTGAGGATGCGGTAGCTCTCCTCACTCACCTGGATGCGGCACTCAACGCCGGTGGTGTCCATCCTGCTGGCGATGTTCACGGTGTCCCCCCAGATGTCGTACAACAGCTTGGTGGTGCCGATGACCCCGGCCGTGAGGGGGCCGTGGTTAAAGCCGATGCGGAGTTTAAAGTTAAACCACAGCATGTTGTTGTTGAAGTCATCCACCACCCGCATCATTTCTTTGGCAAATTCAAAAAGGGTCTGCAGGTGCCCGTGGGGATGGCTGCTGTCCTGGCACTGCGAGGTGTTCAGCCCCGACGCCGCCATGTAGGTGGCTCCGATGGTTTTGATCTTCTCGATGCTGCTGTAGTGGGGTTTGCTCAGCAGCTCATCGAAGTCCCCGATGAGCTCGTTCAGGACTCGGTAACACTCCTTGCCACCCTCGTAGTTCTCCTCGTAGAACTCGCTGAAGTTCACGATGCTGGCAAAGATCACCCCGCCGCTGTCGTGGTTTTTGGAATAGCTCTGGGACACCTTCAGCTGCTCGGCCACGTGGTAGGGGATGATGTTCCTCAGCAGCCAGTCAGCCTGATCCCGCATGCTCTGGATCTTGGTGCGGTGCAGGTCGGCCTCCACGTCCCCGTGGTAGTGCAGCCGGTAGCTGACCTCGAACTCGCGGTTCAGGAACCAGACCAGCAGGAGCAGCAGGAAGGAGACCAGAACCACCTCCTGGCCCATCAGCTCCGCCGGCCGCCTGGCGTCGCTCGGCACTGAGCTGTTGCACGGGCTCTTTCTGGAGCTGCACAAAGGGGAGAACACACAGGTGCATTTTGAGTTAGGGCATTGCCATCCCTGCCCCACAGTTAGAAATGCTGGAGAAGGAAGTGTGGGAAGCACAGTTACATACTAAATTATAAAAGATCCCTTGAGAACTTCATCTACTGGTAAGGAAATGCCAAAGAATTAATTTCATTCTTAAACTCACCAAGTACTTCCTTAAACCCACCAAGTATTTCTTTATCACCATGTTCAGTGGCACAGTCCAATCCTGTTTTAAGGATTTCACCAAGAAAGTTATTATATCTAAATATATAACTAAAACCATTGTATGTAAATATGTACCTGTGCATGTGTGTAGGTATCTGAGTGCACTGAATGTCTATACGTGGGGGTGTCTGTGAGTTTTGTGGAATTTTGTCTGGTTTTGTATTTTTTATTACCTCCAATATTCACAACCAGCTGCTTTACACTCATGTGCCTTTTCCTTGTGTCCTCACCAAGGACCAGGAACCTTTGCCATGTGCCTTTAATGCTACACACGAAGGGTTTGGGAGAAGATAACCCTGTAAAAGACATGTCATTGAAAACCCTGTGGCAGGGGGTTAGAACTTCATGAGCTTTGAGGTCCTTCTGATCCAACTCAGTCTGGGGTTCTAGCAACTGCATGGAAGTGGGGAACATGGCTGTGCTGACATCTTTTCTATAATAAAACCACTTCAGCTTTTCATGGCGGAGACAGAAAGTTTCTCCAAGTGCCAAGAATACATAAAATAATCAAAAATTCCTGTCTGCCATAGATGGGGAGCAATGTTTCAGATCCTTTCGACAGTTCAGTGCCTGCCTGTGCAGATTATGAGGTGCTGATGGAGCATCTGCCAGTGCCAAACCACCCTGAACGAGGAGACATCTGCATTCTCCAATCTCAACTTTCTGCAGAGATGCAAAGACACAAATTGAATCTGAGAAGGCCCCACCTATGCAATCCCAGAAGCGAAGGCTAAACGCAGACAGCTTGGCACACAGTCATTCCTGCAGGGATCCAACTGCATTTTTTGGATAAAATTATGCCAAAGCTTGAGATTTGATATGAGCAGACATGCACTGAAGTTTTTCAAGTCAAGAGATGGTTTGAGAAGGGAAAGCATCACATCAACCTTTCTCCTGGAGAGCCAGAAAGGAATCCATACTCAGCACCTGCCTGCATTTCTCTGGGAAGGCAGGAAGGGATTAAAACTCAGCACAACTGGAGCAACAGCTCAAGAGAAGGCTGAATTTGTTACTGTAACATATGAAAACATTCCTGAGTTAATTTTGTTGCTTCATGTCCATGGGGGACAGGCTTCCACTTTGGATATATTTCAGACCTGAACTTTATTACAGGCACAGTTTTTTTTCTGAGTTTCATTCTCAAATACTTGATTGACAGGAAAGTGTGATGAAACAAAACCACAGCACAGCTGTGAGACAGATGAACGTGCCCCATATCCAAAAACATTTCTCTGTGCCATAGTCTTTGTATCTGTTCCCTTTTTTACAGAAATCCTAAGGGGGAAAAAGTTTCTGGTGAGTGAAATATTTACAATACAAATCGTGCAGGTTGAATTTCAGAAAGATAGGACAGATTACATTGAAAATTACTTCTTTTGTTTTCTACGATAAATATACTTCTCCCAGGAGAAGTGAATGTATATTCATTTTATTCCCTCTTCACAAGGGGACCATGAAAGGAGGAGATTCCCAACTCAAAGTAGAGCCCCACCATCAGGTTCCTGTAATTGCTGTACCAAGACACTCCTTCCTCCCTGATTCTCAACAGAACCTCTGGTATGGACCTGTTTGTTTCTTCCCTTGATAGACAAGTCAGAGACAAAGACAAAGCTGTGGTTTAGAGGTGGCCTTGGCTGGGTTAATGGCTGGACTCAATGATCCTTGCTGGTCCCTTTTATTCTATGATCCCCTGATCCCCTTTTCCAGCCCAAATGATTCCATAATTAATGACTAGAAGGGAACAATTCCTGAAATACAATTCCCTGCTACCTATTTTGGAGGTGACAAAACGCCCTCCTGGCTTGATGGGCTTATGAAACAAAATGATGCAGGTAAGAGAAAAAATCTTGGAAAATAAGAAGAGGTGGGGGAAAATGAGGAAGGAATCTGGATTAAGGAGCACAATTCAGGCTCTTCTCTGAATCTGAGTTTTCATTATGTCTCACCTCTTGTGGGCAGAGATCTGTGAAAGTATCTGAGCAATGCCTCTGTTACTACTCTGAGAATATGAGTTTGATCCAGATAATCCCCTCTAATATCAGACATTGCTGGCACAGGGATTTATTTAAGCCATTAAAGGCTTTTTATTTACAGTTTGCTGTACAAAACACTCTCGGAGTACTTTAACTCCTCTGCAGTGAACAAGGTAAGCACCACAAAGGTTCTGCTGGAGAAGTGGAAGGCAGGATCTGCCTTCAGGGAAGGAGCTGCTGCCTCCCATTCCCCATTCCTGGAGCTCTCCATGATCTGCTCAGTGTGGCCTGACCTCGTTGGCCATGTGGGCTCCAGCCCTGAGATCTGCATGTGCAGGGAGTGACTCACTGTGCACTGACCTCCTTCCATTAATGGGGAATGGGGAGGATCCCTGCTCCAGAGCAGGCAATTTTATCCCATTGTGCATCAGGATGGAAAGCCCTGATTCCAGCCTGAAGAAGAAAGCAACTGCTTCGTCCTCATCTGGAAATCCAGCCTGTGGATGTTGCAGTGACCAGGGTACAGGATCTACAGGGCTGTAAATCACCTAAATCACCTCCCTCAGGCAGCAGCCATGACCTGGAGTCACCCTTTAGAATGAAAAGAAGTAAAACTCTCCCACACCTCCAACAGGAAGGATCAACCTCATTGCCCAATCTTTCTCAATTCTACTTTTTATGAAGTGCTGCAGCAGAAAACTGATTTTAAAAATCATTCAAATTGAAATCTTGAGCTGACAATGTTTCTTTAACTCAAACTGGTGAAATGCTGCCTGGCACAGCCCCCTCACTATTAACTTGGCACCTTCATCCAGGCTGTGAACATGGAACAAGTGAGACTCCAGAGACAGAATCTCCTTTGGCTTGATCACAAATCATAAAGATAATGGCTTTCCACTGAAAGAGCTTTCTGGAAAGCCAGTTTGCTTCTGAGCCAGTAACCCCTGTTTGGATTTGGATATTATGCTATACTGAAAGAGGATGCCTCTGCCTGCTAAATCTGAGAGAGGAATGCAAGGGAGGAAAGGTGTGGAAAAAGGATCAAACTGCTGCTGGCCATGACAAACGTGCAGTGGATGCCCAAAAACCCTGCCCTACAAGCAGACTGCTGCACACTGCAGCCACACTGCAAAGTGGCACATCCCACCTGCTCTGAGGTGAGGAAGGAATGAAAATGAGAAATGTTTCCTGCTTCAAAGACAAAGTTCATGGTCATATCCTTTGAGCTGAAGAACTGGGCTGCCTGGAAAACAAGGCTAACTCCACATTTTTATTTACAGACAGTCCAGAGGTGAACTCTGTGCTAAGGCTTCATTACCATTACTAGTGTCTCTCTTCCCAGGCAACATTAATATTATCTTTATTCTTGATCAAGGAAAGGGAACAACCTCATTACAGGCAGCACACAACCTTGTCTAGCCCTCTTAGAACATGGGAAAACTTTAGTGCTGAGTGGGGTAAATAAGCAACCTGGTTTATACAATTCTGGCAGAAAAGTGCAGCAAAAAATTTTGTTAGACTTACAGAGTTTCACCTTTTATTAGTCCATTATGAGAAAAAAGGGAAAATTCTGAATTCTGTACTCTAGAAATAACATACAGTGTAAGAGCCCTGAAGAAAGAAGCCAAATTCTGTTTAATGGCAGAAACAGAATAGGATTAACTCCCTGTTCTCTCTTTTAACTTCCAATACTTGTTAATGCCCAAGTTTGGGCAGGGTCAGGCCAGGGGAGCTGGACTGAAGGGCAGTGCTGAGCAGAATTAGCACATGGGTCTCTTCCTCAGCTGAAGGAGCACAGACCACATCCTAATAAAAAGTGAAAAATGAAGTTTAGAAATGTTAAACAGGTGACATATCTTGGTCACTGCCTTACTTGGCCTTGTAAAGGAGGCAAAGCCTCACTCCACAGCTGCTCACCAGAGACACCTCCATGGTTTGGTCCTCAGCAGCTCTCACCTTCACCTGCCATCAGTTAGAAGTTACATATTTATGGAAGAAAAATATCTGCAGGAAATCAATGCTTGACAGGTGAACTTTCCACAGATTTCTGTCACTGAGGGGAAGACCCAGTTGTCAAATATTTAAGGCAGGGTGAATTATTGATCAGTGATTAGCAGCTGAGCTGGTGGGGAAGAGTTTTGTAATTCTGCGGAGGACAAAAGCTTCACAAACAAAAACAAGGATCCAAACACTAAGGATCCAAATAAGGCTGATCCTAAGACGCTACCGGAGTGATCAGCACACTGACGTTTACCAAAAAACCCCCAAAACAAAAATACCCAACCAACCAAAAAACAAAACAACAACAACAACAAAAACCAACAAAAAAAACCCCAAAAACCAGCCACCTCTATTCTTTTGGCTTTAAATTTCCATTCTGGATTCAAGGAACGGGAATTCTGTTACAAAAAAAGAACTTTCATTAATCAAAACCAGGGAAAAGGAAAACCCATCTAAGAAAAGCCAGAGGCCCCCAAACCCCAACAGTGCAGTAAGTGCTGAAGCCTTGGTGAAGAAATACCCAAAGAAACACTGTTCTCATTCCTCTGTACTAAACCCCACAGCATTTGTGGAGATGAGAATTATTAGAAAGGAATTCTGTTTTGACACATCCTCCCAGGACAAGCAACATGCTCCTGAAAACCCCTTTTAGATGCATTACCAAAGTCACACATCCACAGTTAATCAAACCCAGCATGGCCCAAATATTGCCCCCAAATTTGCAATGAGCAAAGACAGACTTGTCTAATACCAAAGACCAGTAAAAACACTTCAAAATGGTACTGCAAAAACTTGCAATAAACCCATGAGATTCACCAGAGTGAATCTTTAACACACTTATTTTCAGGGGTCATTAATTACCCAGGGAGGGATTTTTGTTTGCTTTGAAAGGCTGCGGGCTAGAATTTCCTTGACTCTCAGTTTTATGACTCCCTGCCCTGCCCAGGCCAGGTGACAGCCAGGCCCAGACTGTCACATCCCATCCTGGGAAGGCAGCTGGCTGCACATCCAGCTTTTCCAGAGGAAGCTCCTCCACACCAGGGAATTCTCACCTGCCCAGCTGTGAGAGCATCCAACTCATGCTGCTTCTGAATGGTGCAAATCAGCCAAGGAAATCAAATAAACAGCTCATGGTGGACAGATAATGCTCTAAAAACTGCTGCTACTGGAAAAACAGATGCTGTTTTAAATAGCTCCTCCATAGCTCTATTTCCTAGAAATCCAATTTAAGGAGAGAGTATCATTACACAACTCTGTGACTGCAGCACCAGCCCTGATGAGTTTTGGTCATACCCAAGTAATCTGTAAAGGAAATTACACGAAGAGCTTAAACACAACTTGCTGAACCAATTTGTTGAATTCCCAAATTATTACTGTGGATGCAAAGTTTTGCTGTGTGTAATTCACTGAAAATGTTTCTATCCCTAAATATAACTATGGTAATTTTATGTAAAGCTTACCTAAAGTTCTGTGCCAAATCTAGATGAGGAGCTTCCATGGAGCTGAAATGAAAAAAGCACTGATTTCAGAGGGAAAGCTAAAGCAATAAACAAACCATCCTGCAGCATTCCAGACAGAATTTTCATCTTCCCTATTGCACAGACTGATAACTGCACTGCAGGCCTGATCAACTGCACACAAACTTTGTCTGAACATGATTTATCTACCTGGAAGAGGGATCCAGCCAGAGCTGCAAATCCCTGTAAAGGGAAACTGGAACTTTGTAATGCCTGGAACAAGTAATTGTTAAACAATCCCATCTTACCTGGAAAACAGGGAAAAGCAATCCCAGAACTCTGTTATGTCTTCATCTTATGTGAGCACACAGCACAAATATTTTAAAAATAAAACACAGAGAGACAAAGCCCAATATCTCCAAACAAAAACAAAAACCAAAAACCCCCAAACCAAAACCAGCAAAACAAACAAACCAACCAAACCACCAAAACCCAAAAAAACTCCCAAATCCCCAAAACCCTAACAAACACAGAACCCATGTTTTAATATACTGTTAGAGAAAATAAGTAATTCAAGAGCTTTTCTTATTTATTTGAATTACAATTTCTCTTCTGCAATCAAGTAGCAAGAGAGTATCAAACTCTCAGGATTAGTTACAACTGGAAAAGGAAGAAAACTGCAGAATGGATCTGTTTGTGGTGCAGACAGGGCTGCAACTGCCACTGTGACAAAAAATATTATCAGAATCATGGTAAGAGAGAAACAAAAAGATGATTATTTACAAACTGAAGTAATGGGTTACACTAACTTAACCTGTGTGACTTTTGTTCAGGATTAATTCTATCAACCACCTTTTCAGACCTACAGCTGAACAGCTCTATTACTTGAAATATTTATTTTTGAGGGATGAAATAATAACATATTCCAGGATTTCTGAACCTTGCCCATTAATGGTCACTGCTGTTCACACTACAGGTGGAAATACACCGTCATTAGTAACATTAATTAAGATAATGGGGTTTCTTAACATTCACAGAGCCCCTTTAGCACTCAGCAAGAGCTGATGCTGTGACACAACAGCAAGGTCTCCACCTCTCACCTTTGGATGAGCCATTCCCAGACCCTTAATAAAGCTGAAATGCAGGGAAAATCCCCAGTTCTGTGTCTCTCTTTCTGCACAAAGTCTCAACACAGAGCTTGTCTGGGAGTGTATTCCATAACCCCCTTTTAGCTAAAAGCTCTGCCAGGAGCCCCCAGGGAGCTGCACTGAGGGAGGGAAGGAGCTGCAGGAACTTCTGCTGGGGGGAATCAGGGAAGAGCAACCAGGGAATCAAGAAATGGCATCGAGGGTCTGCTCTCCACTGATTCCCCTGGAAAACCAAACCTGGGGTTGGGTTCTGCTCCCAAGGAACAAGTGACAGCACAAGAGGAAACAGCCTCAAGTTGTGCCAGGGAGGTTTGGATGGATATTAGAGAAAAAATTGTCTTAAGCAAAAGCCCTGGCACAGCTGTCCAGGGTAGGGCTGAGTCCCCATCCCTGGGGGGATTTAAAAACTGTGTGGATGTGGCATTTAGGGACATGGCTCAGTGTGGCCTTGGCAGTGCTGGGGGAACAGCTGGACTTGGTGTCTCAGAGGGCTTTTCCAAACTCAAGGATTCTGTGATTCCATGATTCTCAGTGAAGCTGTAGCTGGGCAGTGAAAGCACCAGTGCTACAAAGGGAAATGCCAAGGGAGAAAATCTTTGGGACTGGGATAGGGACACTCAGTGCTGGGGACAGATGATGCTCACTGGGATCACCGGGATCCTGAACCCAATGGGACAAATCCATGAGGAGACAAGGGAGGCTTCAGAACCAAACAATCCTTTCCAGCTTTCCTGCACTGAAGTTGGAGGGAACTCCCCTGCCCTCCTTGTCCAAGTCCTTTGCAGACAGACAAGAAAGTGATTTTTCTGTAGTCAATATGATTTAGAAATCATTTGTCAACCGACTCCAGATTCAGGTTATTTTTCCCCAGGACTTTCTCCCTTCAACCCTTACAGCCACCTCAAATCACAGATGTGAACAGGTGTAAGAGGTGACTTTAATTCTTCCTTTTTTAAAAATATAAATTTGATCACAATTAAAAGAGACCACTGAAGATACTTAAAGAGGTAATTAAAGCTAAATATTCACTAAAATATGTATCTGCAAACTCTTTTTGGTTTGTTTGGGGTTTTTTTTTCATGTTTTTCACCTTATGATTCAGCAGGTCTCAGAAGGAGGGGAACTGACTGATTGAGGAGAAGACCTTGCTAAATCCATCCCAAGGGAGGGTCTTATGCCACTGAGAAGTGCAAGTTGATTAAAAAATTTTGCCAATAGGAGTAGAAGGCTGGAAGGACCCCTTCGACTCTCTTGGCAAGAAAACAGTAGGAGAATACTGCAAGCAAATTCTCCTTGCATTGAACCATTTATCAGAGGAAAACTGGAAAATTTTAAGGTTATTGCATCAAAATTGCATTATCTTGATTCCTCTGGTTACTGTTTTGCAGAGTCCTCTGAAAAGGTAGGAAACTGAGAATGGAACTGGCTATTAGATCCCATTAGATCCCATTAAAACTAAGCACCTGCCTTCCACACTGGAAAATGCATTGAGGAGGGAGGTGGAAGAATATGTGGTTCCTAAGGGTAAAAATAAATCCAGAGGGGTGCTGGGGAGCAGTTGGGCTCTCTGGCACCACCAAATACCTGGGAAATTCCTTAATAAAATCGATTTTCAAACTAGTGGTGAAAGACAATTCTGTGGGTCTGTAACTGTGTCCTAGAAACACATCAGGAAGCACAGGGTGTCACACAGAACAGGGCCCCTGAAATCCTTCAAAAAAAAATCAATAATGAAGAAATAAAATCATTAAGGTTGAGATGCTGGAGAAAGTCATGGCAGACAGCAAAATGCTGTGCAGCAGCCCCTTGCTTCCCTGGGAGAAGCCCAGCTGTGCTCCCCTGCAGCCCCCAGCGAGGCTCACCTGGAGGGGCACAAGGAGACGTAGAGCAGGATGAGCAGCACTGCTCCCACCACGGTTGCCAGCAGGGATCTCATCCAGGAGCTGAGCTGGCAGAAGTTACAGTACTGCACAATGGTGATGAGAATGGCACAACACATGAACATGGTGTACTGCAACAGAGAGAGAGAGGGGGTTAACAGCTGCCCAGGGCCCTGGCACACAGCCACGCCTGGGTGATGGGCACAGGAACCATCCCATGTGAAGATGGACATCTTCCCTTCCAGCAGCAAGAAAACCTTTAGCACTGGTGGTTTGTCACTGTTCTCCCTGGATGGAGTTTTTTATCACACACCCGTTATTTCAGCGATGTCCAGAGCTTCCAGCTTACCTTGGTCAAAAGCTCAGTGCCTCTTCTCATTCAAAAGAAGGGAAAAAAAGAAGGTGAAAATTCATGGCAACCCCCTCTCCATTGCTGGGGCTAGATCCTGCCTGCTTTAAACTGAATATTGAAATTCCATTGCATTGGAAATGCAGAGTGCAATTTCACCCACCTGCCTGCTTTTAGAAACACTTCTCAGAGAACATTCTCACACTGCCCTGTAACAGCTGAGTCCAGGTAAGGAAGGATCTCAGTGACAAAAGGCAGCTTCAGTCACTGGCAACTCACACTTGGCAACACGACCACTTGTGGCAATTTGAAAGGACAAGCTCACATTTTCTGTTCCAAATGTCTCATCTCAAAACCTTCACCTCTCCCGTTATCTCTCCACAAATTCCCTGGATAAAGGAAAGGAAGTGCAGGACAGATGCATTGCCCAGGGCACCTTCATTTCCCCAGGTACAACCTTATGGTGCTCAAAACTCTCAAGTGTGCCAATGATGTGCCAATTTTGGTTTCCCAAGAATATTCATGACCATCCAAGCTAAACTAGAGACTCCACACTTGGATTAAGGAGTTCTGGTCTAGCTCTATGCTGTGTTTTACAGCATGAAATGATCATTCTCTCCCTTTCTCTCTCTCTTTAGGTGTCCTGAAGCAGCTGAAGCGCAGACTCTGCAGCCTGGCAGTCCTGTGGCATAACAAACAAGCATGTGACTGAGAGCAGACACAGTGTATGGGAAAAATCCTTACATAATTCACCATTTTTAAACCACAAACAACAATTGTTGGTTTTTTAAATGACTTAAAAACAGATAAAAGGAATTTCAGAAGTGTCCATAAAAAACACATAACTTAAACCTACTTTTCCCCCCATTTCAGGTCTCCTAAAGTGGCAGAGCATTGGTTCTCACTCCAAGTGATGCCCCAGCATGAAGCCAGCCTATAGAGGGTCAGGATGTGCTGGATTTTACTATGGATGCATGGCTTTGGAAAGTTTTTTTTTTTTCATGACTGTTTTTGTTAATTTTCATTTTAATGATTTTATATTCAGGGAGAGTATAAAATGCTATGAATAAAAAAAAAAAAAACTTTGCAAAACCATGTCATAGTAAAGGAGGACACTTACCTGACCCTCTATAGATTGACTCCATTTCCTAGAGCTCCATGAGTGTGGAAACACTGAGCACAAGCTGAGCTGGGACATCTCTTGGAGAGTGAGCCAACAGCCCCACGACTCTGGAGCACCTGCAAGAGGAAAGAAAACAAAGTTCATTCTCAGTTTGGTGATGAAAATCACCATTTTACTGCTGCTGCCTGAAGTGTTTCGACTCAACCTGACCTGCTGTATTGAGAACACACTCATAAAGTGGTTCTTCTGATATTATCTGAAACGCTTGGAGAGATGATCAAGGATGGTGATGAATGGGATGGTATCAAAATCAATGGACAGATTTGAGAGATTTGAAGGTTTTCAGCTCCCTTCCCTTAAGGAAAACATTCCTATGGTTATTTACTGATAATCACAGAGGGGAAAGATCATCATTAGACTGAATGAACAAACAAATAAATTTACAGCTTAAAAATTCCTCCCTAAAGTTCCAAAAAGTAGAAGCTGCAGAATGATCTTAAGCATGGGATGGAACAGAATGTCAACCACACCCCCCTGTGACTGTGATAACCACGGGATGTGCGTTTAAATCAGCAAGGACCAAAAAATGTGTGGTCACACGTTCCCACAGAACAAACAGCCCCCAGTACCCAGGAATAAGCTGTGATAGGAAGAGTGAAGAAGATCTGGTCATTACCTACACCCAGGGCCCTGAAACAGCAAGAGCTTTGTGAAACGGAATTCCCTGAAGATCCTGGAAAGGAAGGATTGAACACTGTGCTGCCTGAGAGAAACCTGCAGAGAAACAATCTTTCATCTCCAGCTTGAGGCCATTTTGTTCACAGTTTTTAAGCCTTGATTTTATGCTACAGTTGGCCTTTAAATTAAACTGTTCTCCCCTCTCCTCACTGCTGCCCATAGCAGGCAGCTGAAACAAGAGGTGCCTTCCAACCCAAACCATTCCGTGATTCTATGAATGTTTAACCCCTCATTCTCCCCTTCTGAGTGCTTTGAATAACAGAGACACCAAATTCCCTATGGATTTCCGTGTCTGGGTTAAATATGCCAATTTCTTTCCATTCCTTTTCAGAAGGCAGTTATTGCATTCCTTTAACCATTCCCACAGCTCCTACAATGGCCATTTCTAGGTACCAAGTGCTCTCTGCTTTGAATTCTTTCATTTCACTCTGCAAAGCCAAAACACCCCTCACTAATCCTGTTCCCATTGTCAAGGTTCACTGATACAGCTTCTATGACTCTGAACTCCAAATCCAGCCCAGGACAATAATCCTGAGATAAACCACTTGCATTATCTCAAAAAAAAATCCAGGAGAAGTGCCTGGTCTAAGCGGAAAAAGGTATGCAAGCAGCAGGAATTTCTAGGTATTCTCTCCCCTTTTGTCTGAGAGTTTTCACCATGACTGTGTTTACATAACAGACCAGGAATTCCATCATCCACAAAGCCCCATCCCTCTAAGGGATCTGTATCAAACAGATGTAAAGCAGGAGGGAGGTGGAGGAAGGCAGGCAAGCAACAAGCTTTGTTAGCTCCAAACAGTCACGTTAAGGAACAGAGTTCAACAACTTACATGTATATTTGTTTCAAAATCAGAGGTGAAGTGTGAAAAAACTGCAAGAGCTGGGAGAGAAACCAGGATTGCACCGAAGAAGTGTCGAGGCAGCCAGCCAGATATCACCTCCAGCAGACGCTTGGTGCAAGTCATCACCTCCTCCAGGAAGAACGCCATCCTGGAACACAGGAAAGCAGGGATCCAGGCTTTAGTGGCAGCACATCTCCTTGTACCTCTCATCTACCTGTAATATACAGCTTCAAATCCATCACTTAGGCTCTGTGAGCAACCAAGGTGCCACAGCACCTGCTGGTGATTCCAGGGAATAATCCAGCCTGGCTGCCAGATGAGCAAGTGTTTGCTCCAGTGAGGAGAGGCAGCAAAGGCAGGGAGAGCCTCGGCACGGTGGCTTTGAGAAAACAAAATGCCAAACTTCACTTCCTTGGAAGGTTAAGCAGAGGGGAGACTTCTCTCCATTCACAAATAAAGCAGGCAGGGAGAGGGAAAACTTTGACAAGTTAAAGCGACTGAAAATAACAGCAGGAACGTTTGAGGAGCAGGGCAGCTCCAGCACCCATCATGCTGCAACCCAAACCAGTTCTCCCAGTTGGAAGCAGCCAGTCTGCAGGCAGGCTCCGTTCCCTGTCATTAGGGAAGGGGAAGGGGAGCGTGGGCTGCAGGAGCCGAGCTGCAGGAGCAGAGCCCGGGGAGAACAGCTGGCACCGCCCCGCTGGGTGCCACCAGCCCCGCGGGAAGGAGCGGCTCTCGCCTCGAGCTGCCGGGGAAACCACGGCCCCAGCCTGGGAAGAGCTGAAGGAGCCAACTGGAAGAGCTCTGGAGAGCAGCTTACCGGAGATGCTTCTCAAATGAGAGCAGCTCTAATTGCTGAAATGAATAAGGGAAGGGAAAAGGATGCTCAATACTCAAGGGTATTGTACAGAAAACTAGTATTTATCCACAGAAATAAATCCTTGGGATAACTTCCTTCTCAAAGCGCAACATTAGTCACTTGAGAAAAATTGCAACTGCTGTTCAAGTGCCTAATTATATTTAAGAAGCTGTAACAAGGTGGTGTAGCACAGTTAGCTGCATCCAGAGCCATTAATGGCATGTGTGGAGTTGTCAGATTCAGGCTGGGCAGGTAATTCTGGACTACAGAGCCCAAACCTTTTGTTTGGACAGAGATGCTCACAGCCCCAAGAAACACCCACTAAATATGAAATTCCCAGTCTCCAAAGTCACATAAATTACCCCACATCACCTATAGCTCTAAAAAGACAAAAGATATCCACTCATTTTTAATCTTGTTGTCTGAAATACAAAGTTTTATATTGGATAAAAGCCTGACACAAATCAAGCTGAATTTAAATTCCTTTATGCCAGTCTGACTCTTGTTCTACACCTTTAAATATAAATTGTCTGTGAATGAGATTTTAATTCTCCAGCTTGGAATTCTGTGACTTGCAATCACAAGTATTTTGTGAAGCATAAAGAACTCTTCTCTAATTGCATGTGTTAAAATCTGTAAATTATACTTAAATTCACGGGAAAAGAGGAATTTGGGAGGATGGAACACACTGTGATTCACCGGGAGCCCACGAGAGGGTGCTCACAGATCTGCCAGTTCCCAGTTTAATGGACTTCCACTCACACCAAAAATTCTAACTGTATTCCATCGGAAAACAGCATTTCCAGCAAAGCACTGAAATTTAAAAGCTGGATATAAAAGACTTTATAAAAGCTCTCTAGAGTAAGGACTGGGGTTTCTGAAGGGTTACAGGCTGTCAGAACTGTCCCTGTGCCCAGTGGCCAGCGCTGAGTACGTCTGAAATCACCTCCCAACTTCCCAGCCCTGAAAATACAGCCCCATTCTCCAGGAGCCGAATGGGATTGGCACCTCCAGGGCTGAGCAGAGAGCCCGAAGGGGGAAGGGATGGCAGGCCCAGGGCACCCTGCGAAGGCAGCCCGGTGCCACCTGTGCCCACGCTCCCATCCCGGCTGGCACGGGCCCGGCTCTGTGGCACACGCCCAGCTCATGTCTCTCACCCCAACCCACACACCAGGGACTCCAGCGTTTGCATTTCCCTTCCTGCCAAGCCTCCATGCCAGGACGAATTCCTGTGGGAACTATAGCAACAAATCCACGGCTGAAGGCGAGGGGTTAATCCTGCCATGAGGACACTGCTTTATTTAGGCAGCTGCTGTCTCACCAGGGCAGGTGCACATTCCAGGGCAATGCCACGTTTCTCCTGATAATCTTTACCTTCTTGCACCGATTTTTTCAGAATGGATTTAGCGTGGGGCTCTGCACTCTGGACTTACACGACGGAATTCTCCTCCTTAGCAGTGAATCCAGCTCAATGCTCCCAGCACAGGAAGTCAGGGGTGCATTAAATCCAGACAGCAGTGAGAGCTGCAGACAGATTTAATGGCTACAGGGCAGTATCAGTAAATAATGCAGTGTCAGTGGGCAGCTCAACGGGGCTTAAATGCTAAAGCATCTGAGCTGTTTACACAAGCTGGAGTTCAAATTAGTAACTTTGACATAAATGATTAATGGCTAATGGAGACTGTTACCATCATTTTTGTATTTACTGGCAGTTTAAAATCAATTCCCAGAGTTCAAATCAAAAGCTTTTGGCACAGCAGCAATTTGGTGGGATATTAAATACCAGATGTTAGAAATAAATAAAGGCAAACAGACTACATTGTTTTCTTCAGCATCAATACTCTGTATCAGTCGTGTTAACAGATCTGGTTCATTAGGCTCGAGGGGCAGAAAGCAATTTCTGCTCCTGGTCATGAGGAATTTAGGAAGATCCAATGTTGGCCACAGGTCTTGGATGAGGACGGATGGGGGGTGGCACCTCAGCAGGGCTGGGAAGGTGAAGCACCAGGAAAAGGGCAGTTCCTTGGTCAGACAACAGCACAGCTTCCCTTCTACTGCTGGATTGCACTTGCTTTCTTCATCCAGATGATTCTTTTTTGCTGCCTAGAAAGGTCCTTTTAAATTAATGAATCAACTCCCACCTCTCACTCTCTGGAACAGGAATAAACACACACTCTTCTGCCCTCAACTCTTCACCCACAAGCCTTCCCTAAAGCATGCTATCAAAAGCAACACATTTTTTGTAAATAAACTTATTTATAAGCAGTTTTACTTGAGGACAAGATGTCAAAATTATCTAGTGAACAAAACTTCTATATTTACACTAAATACTGGGCAGCTGCTGGGCAGAGTCTCTAGTCCCTGTTCCTGCAAGCCACTCCTCAGACTCCCAAGTGGAATCTCACACACTGTTGTACATTCAATGACAACTTTTTTTTTTTAATACCAGAACTTTAGGATCTCTTACACTTCAGCTGAGCTTGTCAAAGTAGCTACATTTCAAGTGGGCAGAAGGACATTCTTCAGAGAACATTTACAGAGGAGATGACATCTTCCACGTGCTCACAAATGAAGCACCAATTTTTGTGTGCAGCTTTATACAATTAATTTTCGAGTGGCTCTTGTGCTAACAGTGGGATGCTCATCTATAGGTACTCCAATAATTTATTATCAGACACTTCAGAGGAATCAAAACATCCCTCTCCCTTGTAAGCTTTGCTCCATGAGGACTTTTGCTATTGCAGAACTCAAGTTTTAAGGCTTTTCTCACTGCCCAGGCTGTGACAGTGCTGTGCTCTCTTCCCTCCCACAGCTGGGATGAGCCAGGGGAGCCATTGCTAGGCTGAGTCCTGGATTTAATTACAATTTAGCTGATTTAAAGGCAGGGTGTTTAGCATCATGATAATGAAAATACAATGTGAAACTTAGGCAAGAATTTTCTGGTCTTAAAATAATCCCTTTTCCTGAAATTCTGGGATTGTGCCCAGCATTGTAGTCCAGTCTCCTCCCCAAAGATATCTCAGTGGTATTTGGTGATTGTCATTTGGGATGACATTTCTGCACAGGAAGTTCTGCACTGTTTCTGGTGAAAAGGAGCAGTCCTCACTTGGAAGAGGATTTGAAGAGGAAAAAGATGATTTTCACCTCCCTGCCCAAAGGAACTGTACAGAGTGTGTGCCTCAGGTTATGAAAACTGGAGTGGCCCAGAAGTGTATTTTAGGTATTTACTATAAAGCAAATACACAATAGAGATTCAAAACATCCCTGCTGGTTTGAAGGACAGGACAGGGAAAGGCAGTGGTCACTTGCCTGGTTCCAAGGTAACCAGGACAGTTGGAAGGGTCTTGAGATCACAGGTCAGGTTGACAGCACAGAGCTGCAGTGAAGCCAAACCCCTGCACAGCCACTCACAGACAAAACCACTTTGCCAACTCTTGACTGTATAGACTGAAAACAACAGTTTTCCTTCTCCTTAAGGAACCCATAAACCACCAGTTACAGAGCAGGACTGCAATAAAACCGTATGTATCTACCTATAAATATTTCTATGATTATAGCAATAATTTTTATAAATGTACAAAATAAGGCAAAAGCAATGTCCTATGGGGAAAACAAGTGGGGAAAACAACAAATTGAAAACTACTAAAATGAAGTAAGAATTCACCTATAAAGTGAGTGAACACAAATTTTCTCCAAATACACCTTGACAGCAGAAAGCAGCACTTCTGCCAAGTAGTGGTTGTGCTGTTCCCAGCTGAACAAGTTCATGGCCACCAAACCCAGACCACCTGAAAGAGCTGCCTGAAAACTGCCTAAAATTAAACTTCTGCCCCACTCAAACCAGAGTACAGAAACTTCTGCAAAGGGGAAAATACATTTCTGATGCAAGAGAGAGGACAGACAAATAATTAACACAGATTAGAATGACAACTCTGCCAGTTCAACCATCTCCCAGTACAGCTTTTAACTCTCTGAATTTCTGTATTTCCTAAAAACTATTCAAATTGCAACAATCAAACACACCTGCTAAGGAATGATATCTTTAAAAGCATTTCATAGATGGCTTCTCTCTACTTCACATGCCAGCTTCAATGTAAATCCACTTGCACAAATTTACATGCCCAGTGAGGTACAAATTCCTTCAGTGACTAAAGCATTAATTCAGTATTTTTTACCTTGACCCTTCAAAGTCAAAATAAGAGTGCAAACTGCAACCTCTTGTTTCTTTTGAAACAGCAGCAGAAATTGCTTCCAGCTCATGATTACAAAAGCATTTTGACTGACACATTCCTGACAGATCTGCAGAACTCCAGGAGAGGACACCCATTTGCACACACCCCCCTTATCCTGCTGTTGTGTCAGGGAAGCGCAGGGAGCACCAGGATGAGGAGGGCACAGTGAACTGGTCCAGACAAACAATCAGCTCATTAACAGGTCGATCACCTGGGTTAATGACAGGTTACACGGGGTATCTGTGCAGATCACACAGCTCACCCACGAGAGCACAAGCTGCACTGAACAAAGTGCTCTGAGTGTGTGATAACCCTGGGGATGGACGAGCTGCCACAGCAGTGTCCTGGAAGCACAGAACACCCCAGCACTGGGGGTGACTGGCACAAACAGGGAACGAGGAGCTGCTGTTAAAACCCAGGCACCTGCAGTCAAGTCTGCTGAGGACACAGGAGAGACTCATGGGCAGGACAAGGGCTCAGGTGTGGGGCTGGCACCTCTAAGCACAGCCATGCCAAGTGCCAGCTCTTCTGCAGAGACAGAACAGTGCCCTTTCCTTCTGGGGAAGCACTCGACTCCTGCTGTATGTCAGACACAGAAAACATGACAGTTAACATTATCTCAATGTTAACTCATGAAACTTAAAAAAAAAAAAAATCTGGACAGACACAATGTGCCTTTAGCAATTTCTCTTCTTTGAGGGCAACACTTCTCTTTGCAGCTCTGACACATAATATCAGTTTTAACTCCAGAACTCTGTACTTTTATCTTGGAGTTTAAAGGAGTGGTTTTTTGTGGGTGGGTTTGTTTGCAGGACAGATCAAAGTTTTCTGTTTGAATTCTGATGGTCCTGTGAGGAGAGAAGACGCAGTGACACGTGCCATCCCAAGGAACAGTAAGAGGAGCAGGGATGGGGTGCAGATTCCATTTCCTTACGTGATCGCTATCAGAGTCACAATTCTGCTGCAATTCCTGCAGCCAGAGCTCACCCTGCACAAGATGTGCTGCAAGCCTTGGCTGCACTGACTCTGCTCTTCGAGCCTTACAGCCCATCCAAGCCAGTTCCTGGGATCTGTCAAACAAAATGTTCCTGAGCCAGGCACCACTGCAGCTCTCCCTGCCCCTTGCAGACTTTGTTCCACTTTCCTTACCTGATGGAGATGACGAGGGACAGCACTTCCAGCAGGATGGCGATGACGAACACCACGACGGCCGCAGGGGGTGGAGGGGACGCGGCCATGCCGTGCTTCAGGAAACACGTGATGGAGAGGATGAGGAAGACTGTGGTGGACAGGAACACGTCCAGGAGCGAGCTGAAGGTTGCACTGGCAAACGTCTTCACTGGAGCATTCCTTATAACCTGTGTGGAGCACAGGGATTGAGGGATGGGATGGAAAGGAATAAATGCTATTTTGCTGAATTCAACTGCATGATGAACAGCAGCTCCTAACAAATAAAGCAATGAAGAAATTTTGGCCACTTCATTAATCCAGTGTAAGCACTGGTTGGAAACAAGAAGTAGAAGAGGTGGTTTGATGGCTGTCACAGCTTCCTGAGCAGACTTTGTTGAAAAGAAGTATTGGTGGCACAGCCCCCAGGCCTGGGATGATTTTTACACACTATTATGATACAGAAATAAAACAACATGAAAATTGACTATTCTGTGCAAATAAATGTTAATATAATAAGTAGAAGATAAGTTATGAGATATTTTATTATATTATTTTAAAATAATTACAGATTTTACTATAACCATTTTAGCACTGATGGTTAAGAAAACCCTCCTAACACCAGTCCACAGACACAACTCCTGTGGCAGAATTCACATCTCCCTTTCAGACCAGATTAAAAGCTGTGTAATCCAAATTGATCAGAGCCTAGGATATCCAGGTCTGCTCTTCCATAACCCCTCACCACACATTTCCATCCCATCCTGGCCTGGCCCACTGCTTGTGCAGCTGTGCTTTGTGCTACTGTGGCTAGTCCTGCTGAAAACCAGATCATGAGCTCCACACATCCTGGTTTATGAAGGTGAGCCCAGTCCTAGGAGTGTTTGTATCTGCCCAAGAGACCAGAGAAAGAAAGCTCCAAAGAAATCCAGAAACTATGTTATCAATGCCACCATGAAGGCGCCCAGTTGGAGCGCTCTGGTTTAGTTTGGAAGTTTCTTTTGTTCCTCAGAACACTTCCTGTGCTCAGCAATACTGGGAAACAAACTTATTCCTCATTTATACTTCCCTGCAATCTAAAAATCCAGCCAGCATCATTTCAGTGCCAAAATTACCTTTTAACTTGCAGGGGTAGCAGAATCCTGCTCACCCACACATGAAGGGAAGCAGCACTGTGTCCCCAGGTGTGACAGAGTTAAAGATGCTCTAACAGTGCTAAGTAGTGCCTTCATTTCCAAATGAGAACAGATTAAGGCTCTTGGGAAGCAGAGCTGATTCCAGAGAGGGATCACAACCTGAGCCTGCAGCTGGCACTGCATAATCAGAGGTGAATTCAGGGGTGCTGGAAGTCACTTTTAGCAGCATTGACAGTCAGACCATCAGAGAACCTGGACTCTTGTCAAATCTTTTTTCACTCTCCCAAAAGAAGATTTCATTGTTGTTTTCAACCAGAACTCTGCTAACATTAAAGCTTTAACAGGTTTTTGCCCCAGTGCTGCAGAGTTACTATTAGAGAGTGAAAATTCCCACTTTCAAGGAGGCTTATGTAGCAATTTTCAAATTATTAGCTTGCCACTAACAAAATGCACAGACACATTCCAGCTCTTTCTAGGAATTTCCTATATAGCTACATTAATAGGTCCATCTGTATATGCTTTTCTATCTCTGCTTTGCTTCTATTTCCAATCTTTCCACTGGAAACTACTTGATCTACTATTTTCTTTACAGTTTGAAAATTTTGCAGGGCTGCATCCCACAGGAAGTTTCTCCTTGTTGTTGCTACAGGAACTTTATGCAGAGAGATACCACTAAATTACAATGCTGCAGGATGAGCATGGAGCTCATGACAAAAATGAAGAGACTGAACTGCAACACAACTGGGCTTTCCTTTTGTAAAATAAAGTAAATTAAGTGAGGTGTCACCTGGAAGTATTGGAAAACAAGCAAATATTGCTAAGGAGAATGTGACAACACTGCTCAGAACTGAAAGCAACAAAGAGCAGAAGCAGAAATCCCACTGCCCTCGGGTGCAGGACACACTGGGAAGAAAAGAAACCCACACCTAATTTCTCCTGATGCAGTTCTGCAGATGGATCACCCAAATCAACAGCTCAGTGCTGCTGGAAGGGAAGGGCCCATTCCCCTTCCTGCTGCCGGACGCTTATCTCGTGCTGGCTCTGGCACTTGCCAACCTCTCCAGAGCTGCTGCTGCTTCCACACAGCACAAACCAGCCCCAGGTGGAAAGAGAAAGAGCCCCAGACAGAAAAACCAACCATGAATATTTCATGCTAGGCCAGTAAATGAACTGCTCACAGTGGGGAAGGCTGAGAAGCACCAGAGCCATTAGAAGGAGCAGGGAGAAGGAGGAGCAAGGAGGGCAGAGCAATTGCCTTTTCTTGGCAGCAATTTTTCAGCTACTGGTGGAAATGCAGCCTCAGTTCTAACTGACACCTAATGTCACTCTAGGTAAATTTAAAGTTTCTTGATAGATCCTATCAGCCAGGCAGGAAAATCCAGTGCTGTAGAAAGCCTGTGATATTATTAGCCCCCAAGAGAATTAAGGAGTCTTTAGACTCAGTGCAGAATCTTGAAGAAAACACCAAGTTCCTTACAATTTACTGCTCCTTACAATTCCAGTATTTTGAGCTGCCTGTATCTGTATGTAGCACACTTATGGAATTAGGAGATTGGAATTCAGCACAGGTTTGGATTCCACAGGGATAACCATGAGACTGTGACTAAACAAGAATTAAATTCCAAGTTACCATTCTCGAAGTTAGAATGTTTGATGACAAGACAAGTAGCAATTGGTCCTTTACTTTGGTAAGTTATGGTCCTTACATTCTCAGCATGGTTCTCTGGCCACCCTAAAGACTTAGAACATTAACCTGAACATGGAGAAAATCAGTATACCTCAGATTTCCAGCCTAAACACTGGCCTACACTCAGGGCATGGCAAAAGATGCTCCAAGGGCTGGAACTCCTCTGCTCTGATGTCAGGCTTGGAATGCTGGAGTGTTCAGCCTGGAGAAGAGAAGGCTCCAGGGAGACCTCAGAGCCCCTCCAGTGCCTGAAGGGGCTCCAGGAGAGCTGCAGAGGGACTCTGCATGATGGCCTAGGGTAACAGGACAAGGGGCAATGGCTTCCCACTGGCAAAGGGAAGGGTTAGATGGGATGTTAGGAAGGAATTGTTCCCTGGGAGGGTGGGCAGGCCCTGGCACAGGGTGTCCAGAGAAGCTGTGGCTGCCCCTGGATCCCTGGAAGTGCCCAAGGCCAGGTGGGACAGGACTTAGAACACCCTGGGACAGTGGAAGGTGTCCCTGCCATGGCAGGGGCTTGGAATAGGATCAGCTTTATGGTCCTTTCCAACCCAAACCATTCCATAATTTTATAATAAACTGCAAGGAGACTCTTTTCAGAGGCAGCAATATCAAGCAGCAAATCACATTTGACATTACATGACCTTTCTCATGAAACAACTGCAACAAAGTGTGTTAAAACCCCAAGGACAGACAGTGGCTTAGACAGATTACAGACAGAAACCAATGCCAATAGAAACACACCTCTTCCTGGTAGCTCGTCCTGTAGGCCATCTCCAAATCCTGATCCAAGAAGTTGAGGCTCAGCTTGTTAATAGGTGGTTTAAAGAAGTAATCTTTCATGAGGCTAAAGAGAGAAGACAAAACCAACATCAGTTTGTTCAGCTGTACCTCCTTCAGGCCCCCCCAGACTGTGGCTGCTGTTTCTAGGGATGCTGGCATTTGGCTTTGAAGTTCTTGTGGTTTTTCTTCTTTCTTGATCACCAAAGTATCCTCTTACCCACATCACTTGCTCAGTCAAAGGAAATATTCCTTAAATAAAGCAAACTTTTATACTTCCAGGAAGAGTCTAACAAGTCCTTCCAGAAATTTAACAGATCTAACCGATGAGTACAGATAATTGTAACATAAGCCAGCAAACAGTAAAGGTTAATTGCTGCTACAGACACACAACCTCTGGAGACACGTGCCTGTGGGATATTTGTGTCTTGGATGGAATTCTATGGCTCAAAGCAAGCCAAGCATGACAAAGGTGACAAATTGTTATGGGGGAAAAAAAACCCTTTGCCCATTTTAGAAAACAGCAGTTTCTTGTTATTTCAGACACTAAAATAACTCAGTAACTCAACTGGGAACATTCCCTTAATGATGCAGGCTGCAGAGAAGAGATGGAGAGCTGAGATTTACTTCTGAAATGGGAGATCTGGAATGACCAGCACTATCAACAAAGGCAGTGACAACTAATGACATCAGGGCTAAGGAACCCAGAGGCAGCATCTACCAGAGGGTGTTTATCCCTTCACCTTCATCTTTTCTACAGAAGGTGAAAAAAATCCAACAACAACAAAAAGCAGGCTTCAATCATTGGAAGTCGGGTTTATTCCCCATCCTCTGGAAGAAAACTAAAAAGCTGAGTCTTTAGAAAGATAAAAGTTGGAGTTTTGCATCAGCAGTATGAGGTTTATGAATGAAGTTTCCTGATGGCACTTGATCTGCCAGTCTCTTCTCCCCTGAGCAGGTGCCAGGGAGCTGCAGGGACTCGAGAGCACCGAGTGCTTCATGCCCAGGGTCACAGAGCAAGGTCACACCTGCTTGTGGCTGGGCCAACCCGTCCCCCTGCTCTGTGCAGCTTCCAAACACACCCCTCCTTGCCTGTGAACCTCCTCTCATTTTCAAGAAAATGATTCCATGTGTTATTTACAGGGAATTGTTTCTAAAATCCCCTCTGAATCTAAAATGGGGTGCCTGCTTTCCCAGTGCTATTCCCACCCTGGGAACTGCAGCACCAGAGCCACAGGCAGAGTGGGCAATTTCCAAGCTGGTGACTCTGAGCAAAAACCAGAGATGCACATGAGGTCAAATTCCAAGCAGATGAAGAAGTTGAAAGAAATTTCCTACAGAGCTCGTCTGTGCCTGGATTCTTTTTTTTTTAAGGGGGTTTGATTTCGGGGTCATTTTCTGTTTATTTTTATGGAACTCTTGCCTAAGAGGTTTTCTTGGAAGCTCCCAGCACAAGATGGCATGTGGGAAGACTTTTTTTTTTTTTTTTGAGATGCAAGATCAACCAAACACACATTCCTAGACTGATGCTAGAGAAGACAAAGGAGTCTAAGCATGAATATGGCCAATACTTGGTAACTTTTAAACATTCTGGCTTTCGCCAATACATAAAAAATACCAGGATACTCTGAAGGAATGACAGGATACATTCACTTGAGTCACATCTCTCTCTTTCATTCTTGTCTTCATTCCTCATCTTTCTTAGACATTTCTAAGAGTATCTTATAATAAAAATTTTGAAAGATTTTGGGTTGGTTTTTTTTTTTTTAAGTACTGTTGAATCCCCTTTCTCCCTGCAGGGAAGCTCAACAGAGGTGGTAATGGTGCTGTTGTGCTGGTTAAAGACTAGAAGGAACAGTCCAGCTCCACAGTGCAGCAGGAAACAGAAGGTGGAACAGGAATGAGCCAGGGTGAAGGCAGCATTCCCGGGGCCTTCTCAGCTCCCTGTCAGCTCATTCTGTCTCCAAAAGGAAGATCCCACTTGATGAAACAGTCAAGTACATAATCTGTTTCCCAGGGGGCCTCTGCCTCCCAGCACATTGTGTTCCCCATATCAAGCAAGTCTGGGAAGTGGGAAATGAAAGAAATGAACAAATTTTAAAATAATGAAGAAATATTTAAATAAGAAACTGCCCCAAGGAGGGGATGAAGGGCTGCACAGAACCCAGTTCTGGGGGAGCTTCATACATCCCTGAGATTCTGCTCTGGAAGTCTGAAGAGATCATTGTGAGTACTGCCCTGATCAGCATACCAGTACTTCCTTCTTGTACTTCAGAAGGTTTATAACCTAAGAAATACCTAATTTTTGTTGGAAACAAAAATCCTCAAACCAAGAATCCTTTGAGGATATTCCCAGTGAAATTAAATTCAAACATTCTAACTCTTACACTACAAGTTTTTTTAAAGAGCACAATAATGTGCAGGTTACAATGAACAAATCATAGGATTTTTACAGAAGTAAAGCCAGACTCAAAGCTGAAAGTATTCACTGTTTGTCAAATATAGAGAATTAAGTTGTAAGAACTGGTAACTTTCATAAAAGGACTCTTTTGTAATGTACTAATACAAAGATGCCATATTAATACTGTCTTTATTAATATTATTTTTAAAGAACATTGGAATTGTGCCAAGGTATCAGCTCCAAGGTGAAATCTTGGCATGCAAAAACCTCTCAGCCACACAGCTGAGCTCAATATCCCCAGTGTCCAGCATTTCCTCCCAGCTAGCCCCAGGCAGCTTCCTAATGCAGTCTACAGACTCCTGAATCCCCCCAGGATATGTTTAACCCTTCCCAGCTCTGCTGGAAGCCTGTGGGATTAATTTATGCACTTCATCACCACATCTGGGTCAAGCATTTTCTGTTAACAGGAATTAATATCCAAGTGCCCTGCAGTGGAAATCACTGCTCAGTGCTCAGGGAAGATCACTTGTCTTTGAACAACATCAAACCAACACAGCAGAACTCAGTGAAAATGGGGATCCTGTAAAGTGCCCATGAGGAAGTTTGGTCCCCTCCTTGAGACACCTCAAATTCCCCATTCAAAAATCCTCATAGATACTGGATTAATCAAGACCAACATTATGTTTTACAGAGGGGAACCAAGAACACTTTTTAAATTACTTATTCCATATTATTTCTCATTGAGAAATGTTGAAAAAAATCAGTGTAAACTGGTAGGCTTAAAGCATTTCGCATAGATCTAATTAATCAGAAGATTATTTTTGGAAAGTTATGTTTACATGAACTGAACTCAGTAGAGAAGTTTCCCTGGCAACAAGAAATGGCCCACTTAATATGGTAATGATGATATTTAATTGGGACCAAAAAAAAAAAAAGCCAGGCTTTGACTGATCTCAAATCATGGCACTCCTTCTTCCAAATGAGAAAAAATGCCCATTTTGGGAGTGGAGGAGGAAAGCACCAGAACACAAGAACTTGAGTGAGGTATCTTCAGCAGACCGACTGCATAAATTAAGCTACTTCTATAACTTACAGTTTGCAGCGTGCTGGTTACATTTTAAACAACATTCCTATTTGTTCTGGCTGATTTCTGCCAACATCTGGACATTCCCAATCTGTCCATTTTCTAATATTTGGAAATATCACTTAAACCTCCATTCTCAGCCACTAATGACAGACCACACACTGAGAAAAATAATAAAGAACCCTAAATTTTGACTCAAGTGGCAACAGGAGAAAGGTAAACTGACAAAATCCAGGTGAGAGACTGGAGAGGGACTCCTCTCCCTCCTTCTCACCTCTCCCTGTCTAAGTCACGTTTCCATAAAGGTGATGTTGTCCCTGCTCCAAACAGCTGAGTCCACAGGAGAACACAGTTTCAAGGATATTTAGACAAAATACCCTCAATGTGAGTGGAAGCAATGAAACAAAAATAGCCATAAATAGTAACAAACTCCAGGTGTTTAGCTGCTCCAGTCAATTCACTGCCATAATGGAGATATGGCTCTGTGTTGACAAAAATCCCACACTACTAATTTTGAAGAATATTTCCTCTGTCCAAAATATGCTTTTTTGTTTGAAACAGAGAGAGAAACTCATTTTACAATATCTAAGTAGATAGTAGGTACATGAGAATTCACTCCTATTAATTCTGCTTCCAAGACCAGTAGGATTTCATTATTAGTCACAAATTATCAGACATTTTTCTTTTACTATTAAAAAATGTGAGTTTTGTGGTTCAGATTTTATGCTACACCTTAAACTGCAAAGGAAGGTACACACTACATGTATTAAGAGGACTTTGAATTATAAAATGGAGTTCAGCTTCATGACAAGTGATTTAAAGAGCAATTTCCCCTTCAAAGACTAAACTGAAGGAGGACTGACAGGAGGACTGTTCACTATGGAAGCAATGAAAAACTGGTTTTACTTATTTTAAACAGAAAGTTTCTGATGTCAAGTTTCTACTGTAATTTAAGCAGAATAAAGACTAAAAGCAGAAAACTTCTAACATGTTGTATGCTGACAAGAATTACTGAAATCATACAAAAAGCCCACAAATACTAAAGATATGGGACCCCAGTACTGCCTTCTCACCTTTACAGGGTTTTCCACTGCACAGCTCCATTTTCCTTACCTGTCTTCTTTAATGACATCCACAAAATGGGCATCTGTCTTTTCTCGGATGTTTTTGAACCTCAGGGGGAGCAGAGCTGACTGGTCCAGGCTCACCCCGCCCCAGCGCCCCTTCTCCTGCAGCATTTCATACAGAGAGGTTTGGCTGTTGCTGAGCTTCTCCTCCTGGGGAGGACTCAGAAGTCCATTCCGGGTCTTTGGGCTGTGTCCTCCTGGAGCCTGAACAACAGAGAGCAAAACACACCCAGGGAATGTCAGCAGAACCGACAGGAGAGGTTGCAAGGAACAAAAACTGAGAGGAGCTCTTCCCTCAGCACCATGAGCTCTGCTCTGACCACAGGGACCAAGCTCCCCCTGCCTTGAATCCATCCACACCTCCCTTGTGCCTGTTCAGGTGCCACCTTTGTGCTTTCTATGAACCAGCTCTCTAAGGAGCAGAAAACAAAGCACATTTTCATACACTCAATGACAACCAACCACAAGCCCAAATTTCATTCACTCATCTTACGGTTAAGAGTCTTCTTAAAAGCTTTTAAAATACACATTTCATTTGTGCTGACTCTCCCTGGGTCATGAGACAGCTCACTCTGCCAGCCCTTGCTGATCCTTCCCCTGACCACTCTGGGCCTGCTGCTTTCCCAGAGGTTCCCTCTCTCCCCCACCTCTGGGAACATCTCATCCTACAACAAACACTCTTGCAAATTAAACTACATTTCTTTCTCTAAGATATACTTTTTTTTTTTCTGGTTTTCTTTTGCCTTTGTGTTAGTTAAGACAGCTTGAATTTTGATAACAGCTTACAACATGGCTTAGATACACAGTATCCCAATGCTGCTGTCATTGGAGAACACAAATTACTTTTAAACAAAAAATAAATTTATTTTCATGGAGCCTGAAATTCCCTCTTTTACATTTTGTTTGACCTAGACCAATATGTACTGAAGCAATTCCAAAAGAATTAGACAGCTAAGTGTGGTTAGAATGAAAATGAACTGCAGTTAGTCAGGATCATTTTCAGATGCAAACCCAGAGCAAACTTGGCATATTTGAGTGTTCATCTCCCCCCCTCCATATCTTATCACTTATCATGTAGCATTTATCCTCATCCTGAAGCCCACTCATGACAGAAGTTTCTCCATTCCTGCTTGTACAGAAGTGACAAGCTCCTCCAGAAGACTATTCTTGGATGCCACCGCAGTGACCATAAATAAATACCATAAATATCATCACCACCCCAACCACGTGCTGAAATATGTTACTGATATTGTAAAATCAACTTCGTTAAAGTTAAAAAATATCTGCTTTCTGGCATGCAAAATCAATTCCATCTCCTTGTGTGATCTGTCCTGTGAAGCAAAGGAGGCACAGAACACAGAAAGCTGAAGGCAAAGGTTCAGACACAGCCAAGGAAGAGACAAGACTAAGGGGGCAGCAGGAGAACCCTGTACAGGGAAGAGTCAGGAAGCCCTTGGGCTTGGCTCCTGTCACAGCCAAGACCTCCAGAGCTAAAGCCATAACAAGGTGTGCTGGAATGGTTCCCTGGAGCGACAGGAAAAGCAGGAGGGCGGTGGGTTGTGCTTCCCCTTCCTCCCTCCCTCCCGAGGGGATGTGGGATCCCCACCCTGTGGGCTGCCCCGACCGAGGTGTGAGCCCCAGAGCCACGTGCTGGGAGCCAGGAGATGGAAGGATTCCCAGTCTGGTCCCTTGTAGCCCTCACAACAGTTGTTTTGGCAGCCTGCAGGTGTTCCCAGCACAGTGAGCAGCTGAGGAAGGAATAGGAAATGGGGTGGTTTCCTTGGTGTGCTGCAGACCATAATCACCAGAAGGGAAAGGGGATTGCAGCCACAGATCCCAGCAGGGGCACACAAAGAGCCCTGGGACAGAGGGACACTCCTTCTCACATAAAAGGCCACCAGGTTCTTTTCTAAGAGAAGACACTGAGCAGCTCCTGAGCAAGTCCTCCTACATCTCTGCCAGGTTATCCAGCCTGCCCAGAGGGAACAGGGCTATGGAACATCCTGCAGAACCAGGACAAACCCCTCTGGTTTTGGGGTGAGGAGGACTAGCAAAGAGAAACCAAATCAACAATCAACTGACCAACCAGCTCTTAGTGAAGAGCCTTCATTGTTTGGTGGGTTGGTTTTTTTAACTTACACTAAAGATTGTATTTGCTTAGAAGCATTTCCCAGAACAACCTAAAGCCTAAAGAAAAACTAAAAGTCATAGTTATCATCTTTCTCCTCTTCCTCACCATTCCAGCCACTTGTTACTTGATTAGTAGAAACCAAGAACTCTCAGTTTTTGCTCAAAGAAAAGATTTGGACTCCTAGGCACTGTTTGCTTTCCCTGCTGTTCCTCAAGATCATCTGAAAAATGCAGTGAAAATTTCTTTCTTTCAAAGAAGGTCAGCATGGACTTTCTCTTTAGCTCCTTGGCAAAGCCTCAAATCCCCAAGAAAATTCTTCCCTTCAGTCAGCTCAAGGTTTCTCTGTGCTCTGTTAATCTTAACAGGCAGGGATTAGAGTATGAAACTGTTTGTGTAGGAGAAAATCTCTATTTATTAAATGTTGTTAGCTCCAACGTTACTGGGACTTCTGAAGGCAACTGGCTGTAGGGTTTCCCTGAAAACCTGGAGGCTTGGTGGGGAGTTTCCTCTCATCAAGAGACAAGGAAGCTCCAGAGGCTGTTGGGAGTCGTGGAAGTCCAAGGATATGATTAGATATCATTAAGATTCCCCAAAGACAGGAGACGTGAGTGCAGCATGTGCTGTGGGAAGGGAACAGAGATGGTAGAGGGAGCTTATGGCTCTTCTTCCAAAGAGAGCTGAGGCTGCAAGGAAGTCTTGGGAACCAAATGCCAAAGCAACTTTGTGCATGTGGCTGTTCTTTGAGCTTTCAGTTCAACAGGCATTCCAGACTTAGTGAAAGCCATGACACAGCCCCCACTTCCCGAATCAAATCCAAGAAGGACATGAGATTTGGGCTCCATGGGAATTCCTCCAGTGAAATTACAGACCTCTTCCTCAACTCTGTATGAAAATCTCCTCCAAGGAAGGTCAGCTGACTTGCTGATTCACACACATGAAGCCAATGCAGCTACAGTAGGAAGCAACTTAAACCAGGCAGTTGGCACCTAAGGACAATCAATCCCTCTTCAGTCAGTTCTTGGAGATCCCTGCACGTGGGCAGAGGCCACCTGGGGAAGAAGCATCTCCTGCCTACCATCTTGGCAGCCCAGGCAGATCTCCCACATGTTCTCTGTCTTAGAGATCTCAAGCTGGTTTGAGACAAGTCCCTGCTGACACCTCCCTCAGGGCTCAAGGGATCATGCTTTTTTTCTTTTCTTAGGCTGTTTCCTGGAACTCTGGCACAGAGCTGCTGTGTAACACACCCCTACAGCCCAGTAAAGCAGGCCCTGCTTCTGAGCTTACAGCTTCAGCATGAGACAACATGTCAAACACAGAGAGGGACAAACACAGATGAATGCAGTGGCTCAGCACTGGCAACAATGCTGGCAAGTTTTTCAATCAGTTTTACAGGCGAGAAGAGCTGTAACACAGACATGAAGAACAAGATCACTGTCTCAGAGCATGTCTACGAAGTGATTCTGCCCAGGGAGGGAAAACATTCTATTTATTTGAATATATAACAACAGGGTAATGAGCACTGGTCCTCAGTCTGCATTTAGCTCAACATTCAGGGAGGAGTGAGAGGTGATAGGCAGAGCAGAGGGGCTGCAAGGGCCACAAACAGGATGACAAACAGGCAGCTGGCGTGGCAGAGGAATTAGGGGGCTTCAGTGAGAGTATCTAAGCAACAGGCAAGGAAACTAAAGTGGCAGCAGCACAAGAAATATGAAGGAGGCTGTTTCTGTGGGTCAGGAAGGGATGCAAACTGACTTAAAGCTGTGAATTTTGTGTGTGAACAGAAACAATCTTGTCTTAGAGTGGTGATGCAGGAGATGCTAGCAAGACACGGAATGGTGGTGAGGTGACCCAGCCCGCTGGTGTGAGGATGGAGAGTGTGAGAGTGCTCCTTAGGCCCCCCTCTTTGGGTACCATCAACATAGTTTAAAGAGTCCTAATTTTAGGTTCTTCTCTGGATCAAGCTGAGCTCACAAAATAACTAAAAATTTTGAAAATAGGGTCGGGGGGACTCAACTAAATTTTTGACCGCAAATCAAAAATCAAAATCAGAATCAATTCTGCTGCTTAAGAACTTAGATAAAGGAATAGTGGCGGAAAAAAATAGAAAGCCAAGGGAAGCAGAAAATTAAGGGAAAAAGGGAAGTGAGAGATACTTCAATTACCTTCGTACTGTTTTTATGCTCATCCTGACAACCATTTTGGATAGCTCCTTCATCTATGCTGACATCGCAGTGGGGAGCAAGGGTGGTACTACATGAAGGGCAAGGCTGAAATGAGACAAAAGAATTTTAGCCAGGAATGTTCTGGTGTCCTTGTAGTATGATGCAATTTGTAATTCAGTCCACTTGTATACTTGCAGCATGGTTCAAAGATAAACAAAGCTACAGAATGGGAGGCAGGGAGCAAAATTTGACTGGAACAGAATGCACCATTTCAAAAATAAATCACAGATTTGCTGTTTGCTGAAGCTAAATCTAATCCAGGACAGCTTCAGTAGTGTAAGATCACAGATACACTGTGATCATTGTCCACAGGCAAAGGACTTCCCCAGGAGGAATAACACACTCTTTAGTAGGAGAAGTGCAATTTCCCTGGGTGAAACCTGCCTGCAAAGGGATCTGAGTGCCTAGGAGAGAAGACAGCACAAAATGCAACAAAATCCAGAAAAAACATGAAACACCATGATGGATTATGAATAGTCTGGGGAAATGGAAAGCAACAAATCTGAAACAAATAAAGGAAAATGCTTCTTCATACAGAGCCCTAAGACAAGGGAGGGGAGCTCAGGCTATCATATATTGTTGGAGCCAAATACCCAGCAAATGCCACAGGGAACAAGGAAAGTAAAACCATCAGGATTTGTACCAGTTTCAGTTGTGCATTTTGGAAAAAGCCTAAAATACTGCACTTTGAACTTTTAAAACAAGCTAATTCCTTCAAGTTAAAATGTGATCTTCTTTAGGGGAATTAGCCCTGGAATTGCATCTTCCAAGTTCTTCACTCTCTTCTCCAGTGCTGGCAGTGTTGAGGCAGGATCCTGCTCAGAGGGACTATGAGCAGCTCCTGGCAGCTCCTCTGCTCTGGAGATGTTCGGGGTGACCAGGCTCATCAAAGTCTGCTACTAAACACCACACACCACATCAAGTTTTCCAGCAAGAACTTGAGCCTTTTGTCACAAACTCAACATCCCATTTAATTTTTGTCTGTTTGTTCTGGACACATTCAAGCCTCTCTACTCCAAACCCACAACTTCTGTCTTCAGGTTCACTCCCCATTTCAGAGACCAGCATGTTAAGTCTTTTCAGAACTAACTTTTCCTCTAATGCCCCTTTCCCACCTTTGATGTCCCACCTGAAAATACCCAGCATGTTTACTTTTCAGATGTTTCTCCCAGCCCACTCTTCCTGTGACAACTAAAAATTCACCAGTGGTTCTCAGAGGCTTTCATGTAGCACCTGGAGCCTCCTCCAACAGCAGTCCTGTCTGCTGCTCCTGAGTCCAGGCTGGACACTGAAATTACTCTGAGTTTCCTAACCTGCCATCAGATAAACAATTTACATCCAGTTTTGAACCTGTGCTGTCTGAACAAATACCAACACATAGCTGAAGAAATTATGGAGTCGGTTCTCAAATGGTTTTGTTTAAAAATAATCTCTGACTATCACAAATGTCTTGGCCACTTGGCGGAAGACATTACTAGATGGCCTAAAAAATAAACTGGCAGTGGCCTAACAAGCCTAACTAACTAACCCTCTAGAAGTTAGATTTAGATTTATCCATGGCAAAAGCCAGGTAATGGTGACAAAAACCCAAATACCTCTAACAAAAAAAGAAGAAACCACTCCCTGTTTGATCCTGCTAATAAATTAGCAACACCACATCCAACACTCAGCTCCCAGGGTTAAGCCAGAAGACAAAGGGCTGGAAAAGCAGCCTGACCTTTGAGAAGAGGCAGAAGTTCCTCTGCCTTTCCCCATGTGTTCAAGTCAACATCATTAACTTCCCTCTCTATTGCAGGCATTCAGAGGCTCAGTGTGCTGTGACCTCAGTGCCATGAATAAAACATTAATGCACTTCCAGCAAACACTAAGACAAGCAAAGGACTTTCTGTTTTCATACCAAGCAATCATTAAAACATTTTTACAACAGCTTATGATTCCCTGTCAAGTGAGGCATGTCATAAAAGATGATAGGGAAGATAAACTGATACCAAAACCACTTAGGAAAGGTAGAGTGTTTTCATTCAAAAAACCACCTGCTATTACAGATTTACTCAGAGCTTTTACCCTCTGTGTTCACCATTTCAGTAATGTAAACACATCTTATTGACATTCAAACTGCAACAAGGTTTGCAGTTAAATGAACTACAGATACACCAGAGGAGGAAATACAATTCCTTTCATGGATCAATTGCTGTTTCATTCTCCCTCTTGACTTTCTTTTACAGATCTTGTCCTCTAGAACATCCCTTCAAGCCCAAAATGTGAAAGTCATCCTTTGCATCCAATATAGCCACTTATTCCCTTTAAAATAAAAATATTTCAACTTGCCTGTAATTTTGCCTCTCCTACTTAAGTCTCTTTTGCAGAGCTGGAGTCATCTCCTCCTACACTGACACCATTTACAGCTTTGTATTTAAAACAGTCGGCATGTAAGTCATGATTCTTTTGCAAATTATTATCTCCAGACCCTACCAGCAAGTTGCAGGCTTTAAAAAAACCCCTCACGAAAAGCTCAAGAGCTGTAAAAAAGAAACCCACTCCTTTTCAAAAATTGTGCATGATCTCTGATCAAATTGCAGTCATATCTTGTGGGGTTTTTTTAACATACATATATATTTAAAGCAAAAGAGGGGAAATTTAGATTCGATACAATGAAGAAATTTTTTACAATGGGAGTGGTGATACACCGGCACAGGTTTGCTCAGTGAGGTCATGGCTACCCCATCCCTGGTAGTGTCCAAGTCCAGGCTAGATGTAGGGGCTTGGAATAACCTGGGGTAGTGGAAAGTGTCCCTTCCATGTCATGGAAAAGCAGATGGGCTTTAAGGTCCTTCCAACCCAAACTATCCCATGATTCTGTGATTCTCCCCAGGAGAGAGAAGGCTGCTGCACGTTACCCTCAAGAGCATGCTGTGGAGACAGGAATCCCTGGACCTGGCTGTGCTGGAGAGGCAGGGATGCTCCACACTCCTATGCTGCCACTACAGCCACAGAACAGGTTGTTAAGCCAGTGCTCACACAGCTGCTCCGTGGTCCCCACTCTGACATGAGCAGGATGCTCATGGGATCACAGGGAAAGCTGGGCTTGGGCTCATCCAGAATTCCCTGCAGCACCAGAGCACTGGATGCTCAGGAATCACAGCTGTGAGGCCACTTAGGAAATCCCTGGTCAGAGCTGCAGAGCTGAGGGTGATGAGTAAAACCAAACACCTCTAGACACAAACTCTGCAGTAGCTGTAGCACAACAGGGTAGCCAAGGCAGCTGAATTTGGGCTGGCACTTGTCTGAGATGCTCTCCTGAGCAGCTTCTTTTAGCTTCTCCTTCTCTTACTCACAGCCATGCTGGTACTTTTGCACTCTACAGACTTTCACTCAGCAACGAAACACTTCAAGGGCCAGGAGGTGGATTGCAATGATTCTTGTGAATCCCTTCCACTCACGATATTCTAAATAGCAATTAACACCCAGCAATAGTCCCAGAACATCAGGGACAAAGCGTGATGGGGCAGCAGCATGTTCCACATCACATCCCAGCTGCTGAGGAAGAGTGGTACAGCTGTACCTGACCTTGTGCAAGGTAAATCACTCCACAGTTTAGAAAACACGTAACAGAGTTGATCCTTAACCACAGACTTCATCTTGCACCTGGATCATCTTAACAAGTACCAACCCAAGTCTGTACATAACCATGTTATCAAGCCCCAGCTGCAGGTGGGTCAGTCCCATCCTTCACTGCAGTTTCAGTCCTCAGCCACAGCCTCCTCTGCTGTCTGACATTCCCAAGGCATCCTCACTGTTTCTCACGGAACAGCAGCCACAGCTTCACTGCTTGGCTTCATCCCTCCTCTCTCCCTTCTGCTCCACACAGGCAGCTCAGCAATCCTGCTCCACTTGGCACATTCTTCTTCCTTCACTGCTTGAAATGAAGGAGTTTCTGTCACTGCCACACCTGGACCTCAGCACAACCACAGCCTGGGCAGCACTCACAGGTTTATCTGTACAGCTCCCCCCAACTCTCAGATGTATTGTCCTGCCTTATTTGCCATTGCCTTCACTGAAAGTTAAGAGAGAGATGGAAAGCTGGTGCCAGTAGGATGCCAAGTATATTCTTTCTTACACAGGAGAAGGAATAGAAACATATCACCAGCAACTTGGATGCTGTCAAACCACACTCTGTACATTTTGGGGACAGATAAAGATGGCTAAGCTCCCTTCTGTAGTTCTCTAAGGAGCTCACTCGACATTGGACCATCTCTTTGGGTCAGCCCTCCAGCTGATCTCACCTGTAACCCAGTGTTTTTACTTCAAATCTTAAAACTGGGAGCAGAGGCAGGGTAAAGGTGCCCTACTCATGCTCTCCTAACCCAGGAAAAAATGAGAAGCAGTAAAAATTAAGTAACATGAAAATTATCCCCACATCAACTCTGTCAGCTGAGTCTCAAACCTGAGTTGAAGAGATCCAGTCAGGACTGACCACATTGAAGTGTAAGGACAGGGACCTGCAGATGGCCACCCCTGGCTCTGACATTTGTGCCCACCTCAGGTAGCCCAGGAGAAGGAATTCTTAGCACAAATTAAAAGAGAGAATAGACATCTGTTGTTTGGGAAATCTGTTCTGAGATGGAAGATGGAGAGTAACAGCAAAGCTCTGAAGCAATACACATTGTTTCACAGATTTCCTTGTCAAGAGATCTTGTGAGAGGTGTGAACATAACAAAGTGTCATCATTCCTCCAAGCTGAATCCATACAAATCATTGCCCTCAGCTCCAGATATAGGTTTCTAGAACAAGCAAATAAACCAATCTCCCAACCCACCAGAGCATTTTCTCCCATCACAAAAACAATCCAATTATCTTTTGCAGGGCTGTCTGCTGAATACTCATGAAAAGGCTCACAGGTACACGACCTTCATGACAGAGGAATGGCAGAAGCAGCAAAAGCAGAAAATCACAGAAGTTACAGTAGCTGCATAAATCACATTCTTCCCCCCCCCCCATAAAATTCAGACCATTGAAAAAGCATCACTGACCTCTCAGTCCTGAAATATAAATATTTATTGGAAACCACCTTTGAGAAGTGCTCGCCTTATTTTAGGGATTGTTTGCCAAGTGGGGAGCAAAGCATTTGACTTGGTAAATTTTTCTTCCCTCAAACTGTTTTGTCACTCTATGTACACACACCCATACATATGTAAATATGTAAAGCAGTGCATAAACAAGCCCATAAGATTTCCCCAGTCCTGCCTTGAGATCTGTGCTGCTGGGCTTTGAGAGGACAACTCACCTTGGGCTTTTCTACCTTGGTTGTCTTGGTCAGGTCGCTGAAGTTCTCGGCTGACGACGTTCCCGGTGTCCTGGCTCCGTCTGCTGACTCCAAGCCCGGAAGCAACGCTTGAGAACAGCTGCACTGGGGCTCCTTCACCTTCTGACCTGAGATCAGATAGGTCTTTAAACCTACAGCAAACAGAAACAACCAGTCAGAACTACAGAAAGACAAAGAGAACACTCCTTTGGGCTTCTCAGACAGTGACAACAAAGCACTACCAAGACTCAGGAATACAGCACACAAAAAAGACAGTGGCTGGAAAAACGACCGGGAATACAAATATGCTCTGTGCAAAGTGGTGGCAAAAAGGGTTCCCCAAATCTGCTGTTCCAGACACAAGAGGTGACTCTGACACACAGCAACATGTACTCTCTTTATTCCATTTTCACTCATGTACTTCTGAAAAACACAGCTAAGACCTTATGTATTTGCTTCTAAGTCATAATTTGAGCTTTCATTTTAACTCTTTACTTCTGGAAAGGATCTGCAGCCTGGTTTTCACTGATATCTGTATTAATATTCTACTTCTGAAAAAGCAGCATGTACTCCTTCACTTGCCAGAGAGATGTCGTGAACATTACTTAGTGCTGGTAGCACATTGAGAAAGGAAATGGCATTTAAGTGCTAGAAATTCTGATGGGTTTTCATAGTTAGTGCAGACTTCACATTTTTAAAGAACAAAATCAATCTCCCTCTCTCGCACGTACACCCACACACGCCCTCTGCAACTGGTGTATGAATTGAAGCATAATTGGAAAGCAGATCCAATATTAAAGGCCAGGCTGGTAAATAGCAAGTTGTATCAAGCTGAGCTGTATCAAAAACCTGTTCAAAACATGAAAGATTGGAATTTCATTTAACATAGCACTTCTTTTACATCCTTGAACTTTGCGCTGTGGTGTTCTGGGCTATTTCTAGACACAAAGCCTAAGAAGGAGCTCTTAATCACAGCTTTCTGAATTCACAGGAGTTCATTTGATTGCCACTGGATGGGCAAATGGAGGGGCATCAATGTCCCCCAGAAAGAGTGGAGGGCACCAGTGTGCAGAAGGGCAAAGCGCTCGATCTTCTGTGGTGCCAGAGCTCACGTTCCCAGGGGATGCTGCCCCAAACCCTCCCTGCCCCAGGTTCCTGGGATAGCTGCTGTATCCCATCTGGGTCAGCTCTGCATCCCCTCCCTACCCCTGAGACTTGGCTCCCAGTGCAGCCAGACGTGGCTGTCACAGCCATCGACCCATTCAACTGGCTCCATCCACAGGGTGAGCGCTGGAAATAAATGTGCCAAGTTGCAGCCTGTGGAAGAGGACAGGCTCCTGCTCCCTGTGATAAGGTCACTCATAACCTCCTTCACAGACAGAAAATCATATTCCATAAACCTTGCTTTAGGTCTGTAATGCACAACACAGACTGTACGTGGCCAAAACCTTTCCAATAAAAATAATTCTGGCACACTAAGAGCAAATTTGCAGTTTCTCTCTTTATTCCACTCGTAGCTTCAGCTCCTGAACATGACAAGCAGCACAGGAAGCCACATCCCTACCCACCATGTTCCCCTCAGGCTCCAAAGCTGCTGGGAAAGCTCTGCTGCTCTCACACAGAGCTCCAAACCCAGCGCACTTGCTGGCATCTCGAGATGTTTGCCATAGCCAATCTTTATTTTTATATCATTTATAGTAGTGCTCGGATTTTATTTGGCAGTGCTGCTTAATAGAATCCTGACTGCTGCTGGCTTCCAGATGTCAGGCTCTCTCCTTCAGACTTCTGCTGATGGGGGCTGTTGTTTGAGGCATTCACCACAATCAGCTCACAATTATATGTTTACTGTGGTAAAGGCTGGAGCATTATCTGACTACTCCTATTTTTAAAAGCTACCTTAAAGCAACAGAAGTAATTTCCCTATTCCTATTATTCCTCCAATTCTTTTCCTGAACAAACATCTTTTCTTTGTTTATTGTACTTTTGAAAAGGCACTTTTTATGTCTTACTGTGCTGTGCAGGAAAATTATTTTGTCAATCTTGTTGCATGCAGTAAAATTATCTCCAGTTTGAGCTCCACACCGAGGAAAATGGGGAAAGGCTACAACACACCAGACACTGCAGATGCATTTGGGATAGCAGAATCCAGCCTGAAACATCAGCTCCTTGACCCCAGTCCCCACTTTGTCCTTTCCATCCCTGGCAAACCCAGCCCAAGCACATCAACAGCAGCCACTCCGTCCTCCAGGCTTTAAGGTGGCTAAAATGCTTGGTTGTTGGCATCAAGGACTCTAAAAATCTCTTTATTCCTTCCTTGTGCCCCCCAGCCCCACCACATCCCTGTGTAAGGAGTGTTACTCAAAATTTGAACTGGGACAGAGAAAAACGAATATCCTGCATGTGTTTTGTATGGAGCCAACAGGAGAGCCAGGAGGAGAAAAAGGTTCTTTTTATTAAGTGTTGGAAAACGAAGAGGTGTAAAAACCTTTCATCTTTACAAAACTTTACTAACATGGCCTAGCTAATACTTGTTTGTTATTAAATCCTTATGATGGGAAAAGTCCATTTGCTTTAGCATTCCTTGGAACTCTGTGACACTTCACAAAGCACCTCCTGGGCTGAGTCTGAACTACTTTGGTATAAAAAAGGGTCATTAATTGAGTAGAACTGTACTGGTGTAACTAAAATGCATCATTTGAGAAGAGTGTTCTTCTTCCTTTAACATTTCCAGGGAATTAGTAAAACCAACACTGTCATTTTCCACACAAGTAGTGTAGGGAGTGAAAAACATCTACACCAGCACGTTTAAATCAATTAAGTAACACGACAATAAGGAATGAATAAATAGAGGAGCTGCTATTTTATGTGCAAATGCAATTTTTGGTCTGTGTTGCTGCGCAACGAAGTAACTCAAGACATGGCAATGCAGTAAATGATATGAGGTGCTTGTAGTGCTATTTATAAAGGCCAAGATCAATCTTGTACTCACTTCCTTCCCCAAATTTTTTCCAAAATAAATGCTGAAGCACAACCTCAAAGTGCCTGATAGCAAATCTGTCCTCTGGCAAGCTTTAACCTGCAATTCTGCTTTTTCTAGAGGTGGTCCTTGGAAGCAAAGACAGGGAACAGGCTACAACAACCCCAATAAACCAACTTAACAAAGTAATATTTTCTGCCCTGGGAAAAAAACAAACTGTCTCATGTTTCTCTGAGGAGCACAAACCATTCCTTTCACTGCTCTTGAGGGTCTGAGATCCTGCAAGCATTATAAAGAATAACAGCTCCTGCACACTGAGCCAAAACACTCATTGCTTGATGTCATCTACTTTGAATATTGACATGGCAGTGTTTGTAAAGTGTATTTTTGACAAAATAATAACAGATGAGATCTTCATAGAACGACTGTGGGTTTCTTAGTCCTACTACTGTGGAATTTTAGAAGCATTAGTGAGTCTCTGTACTTGGCTCCCTCCTTCACATCGCCTTTCTTTGATCCCTGGCATTTCTCTGAGCTTATAAAAACAGAAAACCCACCTCAACCACTAAAAACCACTCCTAATAACAAGAAAAAAATCACATGCAAGTGCTCACACACAAATTCTTTTCCGTATGCACAAAAATAAACAGGAGTTATTATAAATAAGGCTGTGTATAAACATCCCAGGCTTCCCCCAGGTTGTGGTGGCGTGAGAAAAGCCGGTGGCTGTGAGCAAAGGGGAATTCAGGAGCACAGGGAGAGGCTGCAGCTCCCTCCTGCCAGCCCAGGGACTCCCAGAGGAGCCCTGCAGTGAATCCCCATCCCCAGCACTGCCTGCAGAGCAAAAACACCCCAGGTAATTTGTGGCAAGTTACTTGCCAGGAAGGAACAGGGAAAGGGAGAGGAAAGATGTTCTGATCCCTGCAGTCCTTAATTCAGTAATTTATTCCTTCCTTTCAGCTCATTCATCCTCACGACTTCAGGTCAGAAGTTGCTGTTACCTAGTCTAATCTGATTTCTACCTTAGGAGAGGACATCCCTCCATGCATCTGTTTAGGACAGGATGTCTTTTCCTACAGGAAATAAGGGATTAACACAAATACTGATAAGAAATTCTTGGACAAAATATTAAAGTTTCAATTTCTGATGCTTCACTTGTTTGGAACTGGAACTTTTTACCCCTTTTTAGATAGCACACAGGAAAATTTCTTTCTTGAGCAAACATTTTTACACTTCTCATGTCTCTGTGTAAGGAAATTCAAATTATTTGAAACCCTTCTCAGCACTGATTTGAAGATACACCAAAAAACAATGGAAACATTTCAGTCACAGACTTACAGATTCATTTAATCAAACTATAATCCCACTTTTCTCATATATCCCTCTGTTCCTTCCTCCATGGATCACTTCAGCTTTTTAGTTGCAGCGTGGGCAGTTTAACAGGTGAGCATCCTTTTCTGATTAAATGCTTGCCAGTCCAGAGCCCTCTGTGCTGGGAGACAGCAATATTCCTTATAATGATGTAATAAAATCCAAATTGCATTGATTGCAACCCCTTTGACCAAACAGCTTTATATTAATGCTGCTCTTTCACTGTTTAACTTCCCAACATTTCTCTTGCAGTCTCCATGCTTTAACCATTTAATCATATCTCAGGTCTGAGCTCCTTTCTGAGCTGATGATAAACTCACTTCTGGGTTGTGTTTCTCTGCAATCCATCAGCTTTTTGCTTTCTTTTTTTAGAAAGACAATAAAACGTTTTCTCTGTGCCTTTTAAAGACATCTTTGCACTTCACCAAAAACCCAAGAGTGAAAATACTGATATTCAGGCACTGCCACCCTAGGGAAAGGAAACACAGACCTACTGTGAGGTTTCCTCACACAATAAAAGGTGCTGCTACACCGTTTCATTAGACTGACTTGCTCTGTAAAATAAATTATTTACTGTGATTTCTGGAATGTTACATGACTAGCAAGTAGTAATTTGAAAAATCCCACCAATGTATTTACTTCTAATTGCAGTCTTTTTTTGGCATCTCATTTTTCTGTGCTGATTGGTTTGGTTTTTTCTCTTGTCAAAGCTTGAATGGTTTTTCAGGCACTAACCTACTGTCCATGCTTGAAATAATACAGCACATAGCACCAGTCCAGGAGCTTTACTATCCTTTGGGTCCA